TGGCCGGGCGAGCCCGCTTCACTATTTGGAAAGAGATGTAGCCGGGCGGAGCAGGGGAAGAAGCTCCTTCAAAGACTCATAGTAACCCACGGGGGGGGCGGGCGGAGAAGGAAGGAAGAAAGGGGCAGAAAAATTTAAGAGAGGGGAGGGGAATGTATAAAGTTTTATATCTTAAACTGAAGTTTAAAGCGACTAAAGAAATCTGCTGCTAAAGTTTTTGAGACAGAGGGACAGAGGAGAGGAAGACAAAGGAGACGAGGTAGTACAGGGAGGACAGGGCGCAGGTCAGAGGAGAGAACTGAACGAGACGATGTTGGTCAGCGAGTACTTCCGTCTGATGGAAACGCGTCCGGCTTCCTTCATTACTGCGTCCACGCAGTCTGACACTTCAAATAATTGTGACAGACGCAGTCATTTATTCTGCCGTCCAATCACAGAGCGGAAAGGATTCAAAAACCACTAAAGCATCCAATCACCTGTGATATGTCCACAGAGGTGAGGGAAAAACACTCGTAAATCAGGTTTCTATATATTAAAGAAGCCTCTCATGAATAACTCGTTGAGTTCTACTCTGAACAGAGTCCGACGACGGGGAAGACCATGCAGGCTCGGTCCACGTAGATCAGTCATCGCGGCTCCATAATCACACGTCCGTCATCACGCGTCCGTCATCACACGTCCGTCATCACGCGTCCGTCATTACGCCGTCCGTCATCACGCCGTCCGTCATCACGCATCCGTCATCACGCGTCCGTCATCACGCCGTCCGTCATCACGCATCCGTCATCACGCGTCCGTCATCACGCCATCCGTCATCACGCATCCGTCATCACGCGTCCGTCATCACGCGTCCGTCATCACGCGTCCGTCATCACGCCGTCCGTCATCACGCGTCCGTCATCACACGTCCGTCATCACGCGTCCGTCATCACGCATCCGTCATCAAACGTCCGTCATCACGCGTCCGTCATCACGCGTCCGTCATCACGCGTCCGTCATCACGCCGTCCGTCATCACGCGTCCGTCATCACGCCGTCCGTCATCACGCGTCCGTCATCACGCCGTCCGTCATCACGGGTCCGTCATCACGCCGTCCGTCATCACGCCGTCCGTCATCACGCGTCCGTCATCACGCGTCCGTCATCACGCCGTCCGTCATCACGCCGTCCGTCATCACGCATCCGTCATCACGCGTCCGTCATCACGCCGTCCGTCATCACGCATCCGTCATCACGCGTCCGTCATCACGCCGTCCGTCATCACGCGGTCCGTCATCACGCCGTCCGTCATCACGCCGTCCGTCATCACGCCGTCCGTCATCACGCCGTCCGTCATCACGCCGTCCGTCATCACGCGTCCGTCATCACGCCCGCACTACGTCTGCCGTCCGTCATCACGCATCCCTCATCACGCGTCCGTCATCACGGCGTCCGTCATCACGCATCCGTCATCAAGACCCAGAAATACACGTCAGTGTGAGAACATTGAAGTTCTCCTTCATACGACTGGACGCTGTTTCACCAGCAGATTATTTCCCCTGAACCTTAATTTAATTAAGTTAATAATTATAATTAATTATAAGTTCATGGGTTTCATTCAAAAGAGCCACAACACCACTGTATCCTTGTATCCTTGTATCCTTGTATCCTTGTCGCTCTGTCTTTGTTTCATTGTCTCGTTGCCTCCTTGTCTCCTTATCTCTTTGCCCCTCTCCCCTTTAGAGCTCCATAGATGGAAACAAAGTTGCGGGTTCAACTCCTCCTGAACCGATGAATGACACTGACTGTTACAAAGACAACCATCAATGCAACGAGGAAGCAAGCTCTCCTCCTCCTCCTCCTTTACCTCCTCCTCCTCCTCCTTTACCTCCTCCTCCTCCTTTATCTCCTCCTCCTCCTCCTCCTTTACCTCCTCCTCCTCCTTTACCTCCTCCTCCTCCTCCTCCTCCTTTACCTCCTCCTCCTCCTCCTCCTTTACCTCCTCCTCCTGCCCCCATGATCTTCTCACACTTTCCCTCTGAATGTGACTCAGAAGCTTCTTCATATTGTCCCGCTGGGTTAAATAGTTCTTGGGTGGTTTCTTCTTGGAGTGAATGTACAGAGACATTTTTGTGTTGAGTTCAAAGACATGACGGACATTTGGACCTCTACAATGCAGAGAGTATTTTTCTAAACACTATTCTACCTGAGGTGAGCTGTAATTTCTGGGCATGAAGTAGTCTGCAGTTGTGGTTTGTTTTTGGGCTGAAGTTTTGTGTCTCTTCCTGGTGTAGCATGATGTCGGGGGGGGGGGGGGGCGGGGTTAGCCCCGCCTTTGCTCATCTAAACTCAGAAGATTTTGGCCCCAAGATGAGGAACTGAATCTCGAGATTATGTTCTCACTAAAGTTCAGCGAAAATAGTTTTCTTTGAAATGATGAAGTTGCTTAGTAAACATTGTGCGTAACCGCGGTAACGCACCGCACACCCGTACTGCAGTACTTCTTCGTTGGCATGTGTTATATTCGGGCATGAATGTGTCAAAATAATAATTTATACGTTCATCATGAAGCTCGAGCTGTTAGCCTAGCTTAGCATAAACATTGTCTGGGGGAACAGATAGCTGAGGTCTGAGGGATTAAAAATACTCTTATTCAACACGTTTGGTTATTATATAAATATACAATGTGTTTCAGGGAGGAACTGTGGACAGATTCAAGATAGCTGAGTAGTCCTCCCTCCAGTTGTTATGCTAAGCTATGCTAATCTTGTTTCTTTTATTGTTGTTGTTTTGGTTTTTGTTGTAATATTCCTGAAGGCGTCTGAGACGCGAGCAGTCAGGCAATCGAACGGTTCATAAATCAAACTTATACATAGATAATAAATCAATAACTGGTGATTAAAACCCCCATGATGCAACAATACTCACCAAATGTGCATTCAAATGAAATCAATGTTATGAAACGTCTTTCCGTCTGAATCTCAGCTTGTTGACAATTAATTGATTAAATATTCAGATTAAAGGACATAATAAGGTCTCTGCTTAAGAGGTACACGCTGTCTCTACGTCCTTCTCTTTCCACTTCTGGTCACTTCCTGTTCACGGGTTGATTAATAAAACAAGATGGCAACCACCAATTTGATAAACTCAAGGCTTCAAAGCATCAAACAAACCAATGATGGCGTTACCATGACAACTACGCCCGCCTCTTCTCTGCAGTGTGTATTTTCTAAACAACTTGTTTTCAGAACAAAAGGCCGTCAAACAAATAGATTTATTGGATGTTGGGGTTTCGGAATAAAACAGTTTATTTAGAGATATTAACATGAAACTTTCCTTTTTCTTTGTTTTAATAAACCAAACTTATTCCCCACATCCGAGAGACTCTTTGGGCGCTTTTATTGTGACGGGTGCCGTCTTCACCTCCCCATAAACAAATTAACTTCTATCTGTACATTTTGTCACTTCTCATTTTTATGTATTTGCAGAAGAGGACCAGTGGTATTTGATTTTTATGGATTGTGTTAATGAAAATAAAAGTAATGGATGTTTTTATGCATCTCTGCATTTTTGAGCCTGAACTCAGATCAGATGGATTTATTGTAACATTTTGATTTTTTTTTCCAAAATGTTTTTTGACATAAGATTATTTAACTAATTTTTCCAACTTTTTGTTCCATGACAATTTCTGACAAATGTATTTTTTAATGACATTTTACAAACCTACCCTACATACTCCATGCTGCTTTTTAACTGTTCTTTTGACCTAACACAATTTTTCTAAATGTTTTTCCATGAAAGCTTTGAAATTTTTGTTTTATGATATTTTTCGATCTATCATTGTTTTACTTTTTTCACAAGTTTTTTTACATAAAATGTTTTGACTTTTTTTCGGAAGCTTTTTTGACCTAATATTTATTGACTCATTTTTCCATAACTTTGTTCCATGACATCTTCCACATTTTAACTTTTTTCTTCCCAAAATGTTTTTCGACCCAACATATGTAGACTTTTTTAACATAACATATTTGCGAATGTTTCACGATGGCGTTGTGTGTGAGAAGTGTAGGCAGGAGGAGGATCTACCTGTTGCTCGGGTTTGTTGGTTCCCAGGTATCACAGTGTTTATTATCACAGTATTTACAAAGATTCTGACGGTATTTTTTCCAGGTGAACACATTCATTCATGGACCCTGAAAAGGACCCGAACAGCGACTGGCCGCCTCGTCAGCCTGTTTCATGTAGCAAGTTACTTCTTGTGGTGATGGCGGGCGAGCTCTACCCAGCATGCAGTTCACTGGGGTCCTTTTACACATGTATAATTGTTAGTGTTACTAATTGTGTCACCAGCCGTTGTCGCGGTGGGATGAGGCTGCCTGCCGGAGAGCAAGGTGAGCTGGTACGTGGAACATCGTACGTAAGGAGACGTTACCTGTTGCCATAACAACAGGTTATGATGCAGACTGTCGATCGCATATGATTCGACTCGACGTTGTCCTCTGATCAGTTAAATAGTAAATAGACTGTACTTTGATAGCGCTTTTAACACCACGACATCATCCACACACTGATGACGGACGCACACAGCACCGGCCGTCAGTCACCAACACTCACACACTGCAGTCTGAGGAGCATGTTGGCTTTAGTGTCTTGCCCAAGGACACATCGGCATGCGGGTTCGCCGGGATCGAACCGCCTGGGTCGCCCCCCCAGTCGCCCCCCGTCCAAACAAAGCTCTCGTAATATAACGTTACTGTGAAGAAAGATTTCTTCATGTACTTTATATTTATTTCAAATACCTTGGAAATGGCAGAGCGGCGCACACGAGCACCATCAGAGACACGTATGTACAAATATAAATTAACATTTCAAAAGACACTGACAACAACAACGTATTCAAATGTTATAAAAGCAGTAAATATAAGTGATGGTGGAATGTCCGTGTGTGCAAAGGAAACAAGAAAATTCACATTTGTAACAGCTTTGGTCCAAAAGAGAAAACTGACACGTTAATTCACGTCACTGGTTATTTTACCACGATGAAGGTCACATGATCAGTTGAGGTCCAACAGGCCGCTGATGTTCTGAGAGGCACCAAAGAATCCTAAGGGGGCGGAGTCCTCGAGAGAAACGCCACTTATTTCAACAATAATAATTATAATATTCATATTAATAATTATAAGAACGAGTTCCATTGGGAAACAAATATACCTCAAACTAATTCCCAAACCAGAGAACCTCAACGTTTGTTTTCAGTTTTTAGGTAAATCGTCGCTCTGTTCTCCGTAGCAGAGAACTGCTCCTCGCTCCTGAAGGCCCCTGAAGGCCCCTCAGTGGTTCCTGGAGTTGAAGAACCCGACGCTGGTGGGCGACTCCTTCACCGTCACCGTGATGAAGTTGGCGGTGACGTCGGTGACGAACACGTGCTCCAGGAGGCTTCGGGCCGGCCGCCAGTCCGTCTCGCCGTCGGAACCCCCGCCGCCACCGAGGCCCAGCCGGCCACTGGCGAGGTCGCCGCTGGGGTACGACGCCGCGCCCCCTCGCTCTGACTCGCTGCTGCTGGTCTCCTCAGAGTCCCCGGTGCTGAGCTCGGTGAGGCTCCGGTTCTGGACGCCTCCTGTCATCTTTGTGGTCACCTCCTTCCCCTGGTCCTCCCGTAGCCGGGCCTGCTCGCCGCCGCTCCTTGCTCCTCTCTTGGCTCCACTCCTGGCGCTGGACCTGGCGGCGCCGACGCTCTGCAGGTTGAGCGCCCGCAGGCTGAGCGCCTGGCTGGCTCGCTCTCTCGGGAGGTTCTCCCGCCTGTGTTGGACCGGCCCGTCCTGCCGGCGCTGGCCCAGCACGGAGCGCTGCGCCGCCGCCAGGGAGCCGATGCCGCCGTGCGAAACCGACGACCCAGATCCGCCTCCAGGTTTTGGGGCCTTGTGCCCGTCGCCTCTACTTCCTGTCTCTGAGGACGGAGGAGCCGGGCCGGTTCTGCCGTATGAGGACGGAGACATGGAGCGGCCGGTCCAGATGCAGCCCAGGGAACCCGCCTTAGAGGAGGAGGTCTGGGAGAAGGAGCTGGAGGAGGCGTGGGAGGAGGCCTCCTCCCTGGAGGCCCGGCTCAGACCGGTGTAGGTGAAGCTGGCTGGCTGCAGGGGCTTCTTCACTGCGGAGCGAGGGTCCTCCCTGGGGGGTCTGAGCCCCTGCTGGTGGCGAGGATGAAGAGGAGGAGGAGGAGGAAGAAGGAGAGGAGGTCTGCTCTTGGCCTGCCTGAGAAGCCTCAGGTCCGGGTGTAGTGGCTTCCTGCCACGCTTCTTCTTGCATGGGGGTTCAGGCTGGGGGGGCGCCATCGGAGGCCTCTTCACCGGGACGGCGTGGACTCGCGGCTTTGTTTTTTTGCTGTGCTCCTCCTCCTCCTCCTCCTCCTCCTCTTCCTCGTCCTCCTCGGAGGAGGAGGAGGACGTGACTGAGGACGAGAGACTGGAGGAGGAGGAGGAGGAGGAGTGGCCATCTTCTGCAGCGGCCGGCTCCGGCTGCTGAGAGGACAAAGAGAAGGAGGAGTGAGAGGAGGACAGCGAGGCGAGGGGGGGGAGGAGGAGAAGGAGAAGGAGGACTAGCTGAAGGAGATCTACCAGAATCTTCCTGGGCCGTCCTCTTGGTCGCTTCCCTTTCTTCTGGAACAGAAGTTCTCGCTCTTGTTCTCTGACAAACATCAGGCAACGTTAACAGAGAAGACCAGGAGCAGAAGCTCCGCCCATCTCACGTGTCACATGACTGCGTGTGTGAGGAGTGTGTACCTCTTGTGGAAGGCGGCCAGCAGCCTCGGGTCCAGAATGTTCTCCTCCGGCTCCCAGCTGTTGTGTCTGAGAACATCAAGAGCACCAGGATCCAAAGTAAACACGCGTCACACCAGAAAACATCTACACAAGTTCTAACGCACAAAGGTTCACAAACCGCTGAAAAACGAGATCAAGTTGTTAAATATGCGCGTCGGGCCTGACGTCATCCTGGTCCCTCACTGCTTACATACGTGTGTGTGTACGTGTGTAAACATGCACACTGTGGTGCCCGTCCGGTGCGAACCGGATCACGTAGACCGGGACCAGCGGGGGCTCGACGGGACCTCCGTGTCTCCGGTGTGTGTCCAGCAGAAATCCCGCTGTTCGACCCCCCCGCCCCGCCCCCTGCTACAGACGCGGCTCGGGGCCGGCATTGTTGGGGGCCATGTTTCCAGTGTGTGTGCGTGTGGTTAGCATCGGGCGGCTAGCAGCTAGCTTGACTCACTTGGACGACCACCCTCTCCACTTCACCAGATACTCCGACTTCCCCTGTGAAAGAGGAGACATGACGTCACAACGCGCCCGGGACCGGAACGCGGATCCTCCGGGCGGCGGAGCCGGGCTGCGTCTTACCTTTCTCGGCCGTTTGCTGAGGATGCACTCCGCATCAAATACCTGGCCGACTGTGACCCCCTCCATTACTACAGCGGAAGCCCCCCGGAACGAGCACGGCGCACGCAGCGCGCTTTGGCCCGCGCGGCCACCGTAGACGCTGCTCTCGCTGTTATTTCTTACTGTGCTGGTTTGTGTTGTTAGCGTTTATCTATTGTTGGATTGTCACATCATTGTCATTCATTTAGTATTTGTGGTCGTGTAATAATAACGCTTGTATTGTTTTATTGCTGTAATGATAATTGACATTATAATTGATATTTATTCATTTAGTATTTGTTTTCGTACCACTATCATTATCATTACTATTATTTTCATTTTCATGCTCCCTTGTATTGATAAATAGTATTCTTATTTAATTGGAGCATTTATTTATGAGTAATAGTAGTACAATTATAATGTGTTTATTATCATCATATATATTGTAGTTATTTGAATTTATTGAACTTCATCGAATAACATTTGATTTAATCATTCAATACAGGCAGAAATAATATCAACGACATTATGATGCCATCACAATATAATATCCCAATAAAAGGAAATAAGGAAATACAAGACAAGTTATAATTGGGTTGATTAATTTGACAGGTGTGCTACAGCTATCATCACTTTGTCTCTTGTCTGTTACTTGTTTGTTAGTGCACTTTATGCTTAATACTTTTCTTTTTAACTTTTTAATATTTAAAATTTGTTTAACTTTATTCCCTTGTTTTTTTACTAACCCATAGCCTTAGCCTTATTCTACTAACCCATTGCATTAGCATTTCATTCCACTTTATTTTATTACCTGTGCACTGTTGTCTTGTCTGTCTACTGTCTCGCACTAACCGCCAAGACAAATTCCTTGTATGTTTGACATATTTTGGCCAATAAATGTTTCCTGATTCCTGATTCCTGAGCTATAAACTGAACAAGCTCTTCTGTCTTGTGTAAATGTTCCAAAAACACTTTTTTGTAACTGGGATTTATACCCTTATCTTAAATGAATTAATAGTTTTGAGGGGGGGTCGAGGCCTTGTGGATTTTAACGAGTGGAGTTTTTAAAGTAATATGCGTTCCTTTCATTTCGGGGAGGAACACAAATAAAAGTGTTATTTTTTTGGATATTTATTTAGGGTATAAACCAGGTCGGGTGAAGACTGCAGAACACATACAAAGATACACACACACACACACACACACACGTAAACGTGACAATAAACCAACAACAACTCAAGCTAAACTCAAACTAAATCGGATTGTCCTGTGGAACCTTTAAGCGCTCGTGTGAGCGGGGAGCTAATTGTGTGATGCACACGTGTTACGTGTGTTTCTTTCCGTGTTTTGTAATGAGCAGCGGTGAATGGCAAAGGACTCTTCTTCTTCTTCTTCGAAGGTATCAGCCTGTTAAAACACTTTTAGTGTAAAATGTTCTGTTAGCATGCTGGCTAAGCTAAGCTAACTAGCCGGTGACTCCTTGATGTTCCATTGAATTGATCTGTTAGCTCGTTTTATTAATCGTAACAGCCTGTTTGGTCATAACTAAAGATAAACATGAACTTATCGGTGTGTGTCCTTTATATTCGTATTAATAACTCAATCTAGTGTCATTGACTCCTTCGGGTTTTGTATTTAGTCTAATTACAACATGTTTTATGTGTTTTATGTTTTCTTAAGCAAAGCAGTGATGACATGTGTCTCACTTTTATGGAGGAAACGTAATGTTCTTGTTAATAAACGATAATTTGCCGTCGTTTTGATCCTTTGGTTCATTGAGAGCAACTGTTCTAGTTCTAGTGTTGTTTTAGTGCAGCTGTTTGTCCTCCATCCAGGTGAGCCGGACCCCCCCAGCATGCTGCTCCCCGTCCTGCTGCGTCCGTCCCGCTGCTGCGCTCGGGTCTCTGGGATTTTGACACAGTGCGTCCGGACACCGTCCTCCCCGGCCGGGCACTTCCTGCTCCGCCCGCACAGCCGGGGCCTCAAGGGTGGAGGCAGGAAGTCCCAGAGCCAGGAGGAGAGGTGGAGGAGCAGGAACAAGACGGTGCTGACGTACATCGCCGCGGCTGGCGTGGGGATGATTGGCCTGACGTACGCCTCCGTGCCGCTGTACCGCCTCTACTGCCAAGTGAGCTCCTCCTCCCCGCTGTCTGTCAGAGGCCACGCCTCCTCGCCCATTTGACCGTTTGTCCTCTCTCCGCCCGCCAGGCGTCCGGCCTCGGCGGCGCAGCGGTGGCGGGGCACGACACGGAGCAGGTGGAGACGATGGAGCCGGTGAAGGGACGCGTGCTGAAGATCTCCTTCAATGCCGACACCCACGCCAGCATGCAGTGGAACTTCAGACCGCAGCAGAGCGAGATCTTCGTAATGATGATTCGTCTTTTGTGGTTCTGCCCCCCCAACCTGGACCCGCCCCGCACCGAACCTGTCTGTCTTTGCCCCCCCTGCCCCAGGTGGTCCCGGGTGAGACGGCGCTGGCGTTCTACCGAGCAAAGAACCCCACCAACAAACCCATCATTGGCATCTCCACCTACAACGTGGTGCCCTTCGATGCGGGCCAGTACTTCAACAAGATCCAGGTGCCTTGAGCCAGGACCCAAAGCGGATCCAGGTAGTCTAGATTGAGGTGTGGACCCGCTAACCGGCTTCTGTGCTGCTCTCTCCGCAGTGTTTCTGCTTCGAGGAGCAGCGCCTGAACCCCCACGAGGAGGTGGACATGCCCGTCTTCTTCTACATTGACCCGGAGTTCGACGAGGACCCGCGGATGGCCCGCGTGGACACCATCACGCTGTCCTACACCTTCTTCGAGGCCAAGGAGGGCCAGAAGCTCCCTCTGCCCGGGTACAGCTACAACTGAGGCTTCTGGTTCAAGTCAGAGACTCCCGTCTTTGATCAGAAAAACATGGACTTTTACTCTGAAAATCTAAACAGGAAAACGTTTTGTGTGGAAATTTTGAGTTTCAGGAAAAAAGGCGAAACCTATTTTTTTATTGCAGGATTCATGAATAAGCATCTTATTGTAATTATAATTACTACTGTTATTCATATTAATATATGATAGATTTGTGTTTATTAAACTAGTGATAACTTTGAAGCAGACTCCCTTTCTTCTTTCTCAGAGCATCAGATTAGTTTATTTCTCCAGAACTCTATAAAGCAGCTTCTGGAAAACCTTCTGACTCCAGCACATGAATCTCACATGATATTTAAGTAAACGTCCTGCTGAGGTTTCATTTTTCTAAGAAGAGAAAACGATCGATGCGTTTTGAACTTTAACTCAATCTCTTGTTTGACAAACAAAACCTGAGACGTTGAGCTGCAAACTCGTTCTGTCTGAGAGACTCTATGTATGTACACGCATTGATGAGACTACATACGCGCAGCATGACTACTGCAGATGATTGATCAATAAAGGGCTTCTCTGTGCAGTGTTGTTTGTTTTCTGGGCTGTGATTTAATATTTAATAACTAACATTATTGTGTGTTTGAGTCATCTGGACCCCAGGGGTCTGTTTCAAGTAGGAGGTTGAACAAACTCTGACTTGATTTAGCCTGAGATAAAACAGCTGTTCAGAGACGGTTCAATCAACTCGAGTAGGTTGACTCCGAGTTGAGCGCGTGCAGCATCACAGTATGAAGGCAGCGTGAATGGAGCCACGATACTACGAGTTACCATGACAACCACCACAAACAATATATTCACCCCTATTGAGCTGCAAATATTAATGCAAGCGCAGTATGAACCCGTAAGAAAGAAAAGCTGGTGATCACATTTAAGTAAAAGATGATTCGTGTTTATTGGCTGAACCTTTGGTTGTCATGGAGACGCAAGAAAGACAAGAGGAGGTTAAATCCATTTCTTCTCAAAATAAAGTTCTCCTGCAAACGGAAAAAGTCTGTAAGCGGATATTGCTGCACATCTCCGTGTATCTATACGAGGCAATCAACATGTTTCCAACAGCAATGACAAAATTCAACAAAAGTGCCTCAATTTCAGAAGTTCTTCTGAAGCTCATTCGAGGTGATTTTTGTCTTTATTATTAAAAAAATTCAGACACAAATAATATAAAGTCCCGACTGTCTCCACCAGCTGACATCTGCTTGTTAGCTGTTATTTAAACTAATTTTTAAAACTAGAGATTTTGGCACTGTTAGATTAAAATGTGTTTAATTACATTTTAGCAACATAAAACATTATTTCAAATTCATTTTTTAAGAACTTACACTTAATTACACTCATGGATGATCAATCACTTCCTAATCACTCAACAAATGTCAATTATCAAAAGATTATTACATGTCTTCTGACATTTTAAGGATGAAATAATTAATAAAAGGATTATTGATACAGTAGATCAATGAACAGGATTTGTGTTTAACGTTGAAATCAGGAACATCTTTGTCTTCTTCGTCATCTACTTTGGTTTGTCCGTTTCCGACGGGAGGCCTTCAGGTCTTTGGAGGCCTTCTGGCCTTCAGGCTTTCAGACGGTTGGGGCAGTCGGAGAGGCCATCAGCCCTCCTCCGGGGGACTCGGGCAGGCGGAAACCCGGAGGGTGGTTTCCGCTGCGCAGGCGTCCGAAGCAGGCGAGCAAAAGGTCCACCGCTGTTCCGACCGTGGCCTGGACCTCCTTTTCCGTCTGACCCCTCAGAGGATTCACCTCCACCAGGTCCACCGCCGAGAGGAGACCTGCAGGAACCAGAGGCTCACAGACTCAGCGCGGGCTCTATGCTAAGCTAAGCTAACTCGGCTGGCTCCGCCCACCTGTCTGACTCAGCTGTTCGGCGATGTACACTCCCTCTCTGTAGGTCAGTCCTCCCACTACAGGAGTCCCCGTCGCCGGAGCAACTGAGGGGTCGATGGCGTCGATGTCGTAGCTCAGGTGGATTGGTTTTTTCACTCTGTAAAAGTATCAACAGAAAGCTGTATTAGCATTATTACTTTGATTATTATTAGCATTTTATAGTTCCTATTATTATTATTACTGTTATTATTATTTTAAAATCACAATTGTATTCTATTCTATCTTTTATTCTGTTGTAATTATCATAGTTATATAATTATCCCCTTAACATAGTAGCAAAACATTTTTTATGAATCTTAAAAAGGATTTTAATCAAATATGAAACCAAAGCTTGCCATTGCCATATTCTAATGACAGGCACCTTCTGCTGCAGCACAGCCACTGGCCTCAAAACCTTCTTATTCCACAAGGCGCTTTTTACTTTGTTTTAAGTATGTTTTTGCAAACTCTGAGATCTACGGATGAAGAGTTCGTTAAATAAATAAAGTACATTCAAGTTAGGGCTGAACGGTACGGCAAAAACCCATATAACGGTATTTAGAACCATTCTGACGGTATCCGGTATATCACAGTATTTAGAACAATTCTGACGGTATCCGGTATATCACGGTATTTGGAACGATTCTGGCGGAATCCGGTATATCACGGTATTTTGGACGATTCTGACGGTATCCGGTATATCGCGGTATTTGAAACGATTCTGACGGTATCCGGTATATCGCGGTATTTGAAACGATTCTGACGGTATCCGGTATATCACGGTATTTGAAACGATTCTGGCGGTATCCGGTATATCACGGTATTTGGAACGATTCTGGCGGAATCCGGTATATCACGGTATTTTGGACGATTCTGACGGTATCCGGTATATCGCGGTATTTGAAACGATACTGACGGTATCCGGTATATCACGGTATTTGGAACGATTCTGACGGTATCCGGTATATCACGGTATTTAGAACGATTCTGGCGGTATCCGGTATATCACGGTATTTAGAACGATTCTGACGGTATCCAGTATATCGCGGTATTTGAAACGATTCTGACGGTATCCGGTATATCACGGTATTTGAAACGATACTGACGGTATCCGGTATATCGCGGTATTTGAAACGATACTGACGGTATCCGGTATATCACGGTATTTGGAACGATTCTGACGGTATCCGGTATATCACGGTATTTAGAACGATTCTGACGGTATCTGGTATATCACGGTATTTAGAACGATTCTGGCGGTATCCGGTATATCACGGTATTTAGAACGATTCTGACGGTATCCAGTATATCGCGGTATTTGAAACGATTCTGACGGTATCCGGTATATCACGGTATTTAGAACGATTCTGGCGGTATCCGGTATATCGCGGTATTTGAAACGATTCTGACGGTATCCGGTATATCACGGTATTTGAAACGATTCTGACGGTATCCGGTATATCACGGTATTTAGAACGATTCTGGCGGTATCCGGTATATCACGGTATTTGGAACGATTCTGGCGGTATCCGGTATATCACGGTATTTAGAACGATTCTGACGGTATCCAGTATATCGCGGTATTTGAAACGATTCTGACGGTATCCGGTATATCACGGTATTTGAAACGATTCTGACGGTATCCGGTATATCACGGTATTTGGAACGATTCTGGCGGTATCCGGTATATCACGGTATTTGGAACGATTCTGACGGTATCCGGTATATCACGGTATTTTGAACGATTCTGACGGTATCCGGTATATCACGGTATTTGAAACGATTCTGACGGTATCCGGTATATCACGGTATTTGGAACGATTCTGACGGTATCCGGTATATCACGGTATTTAGAACGATTCTGACGGTATCCAGTATATCGCGGTATTTGAAACGATTCTGACGGTATCCGGTATATCACGGTATTTGAAACGATACTGACGGTATCCGGTATATCGCGGTATTTGAAACGATACTGACGGTATCCGGTATATCACGGTATTTGGAACGATTCTGACGGTATCCGGTATATCACGGTATTTGGAACGATTCTGACGGTATCTGGTATATCACGGTATTTAGAACGATTCTGGCGGTATCCGGTATATCACGGTATTTAGAACGATTCTGACGGTATCCAGTATATCGCGGTATTTGAAACGATTCTGACGGTATCCGGTATATCACGGTATTTGGAGCGATTCTGACGGTATCCGGTATATCACGGTATTTGAAACGATTCTGACAGTATCCGGTATATCACGGTATTTAGAACGATTCTGACGGTATCCGGTATATCACGGTATTTGGAACGATTCTGACGGTATCCGGTATATCACGGTATTTAGAACGATTCTGACGGTATCCGGTATATCGCGGTATTTGAAACGATTCTGACGGTATCCGGTATATCACGGTATTTGGAACGATTCTGACGGTATCCGGTATATCACGGTATTTGGAACGATTCTGACGGTATCCGGTATATCACGGTATTTAGAACGATTCTGACGGTATCCGGTATATCACGGTATTTAGAACGATTCTGACGGTATCCGGTATATCACGGTATTTGAAACGATTCTGACGGTATCCGGTATATCACGGTATTTGGAACGATTCTGACGGTATCCGGTATATCACGGTATTTGAAACGATTCTGACAGTATCCGGTATATCACGGTATTTGAAACGATTCTGACGGTATCCGGTATATCACGGTATTTGGAACGATTCTGACGGTATCCGGTATATCACGGTATTTGGAACGATTCTGACGGTATCCGGTATATCACGGTATTTGGAACGATTCTGACAGTATCCGGTATATCACGGTATTTAGAACGATTCTGACGGTATCCGGTATATCGCGGTATTTGAAACGATTCTGACGGTATCCGGTATATCACGGTATTTGAAACGATTCTGGCGGTATCCGGTATATCACGGTATTTAGAACGATTCTGACGGTATCCGGTATATCACGGTATTTTGGACGATTCTGACGGTATCCGGTATATCGCGGTATTTGAAACGATTCTGACGGTATCCGGTATATCACGGTATTTGGAACGATTCTGACGGTATCCGGTATATCGCGGTATTTGAAACGATTCTGACGGTATCCGGTATATCGCGGTATTTAGAACGATTCTGGCGGTATCCGGTATATCACGGTATTTAGAACGATTCTGCCGGTATCCAGTATATCGCGGTATTTGAAACGATTCTGACGGTATCCGGTATATCACGGTATTTGGAGCGATTCTGACGGTATCCGGTATATCACGGTATTTGAAACGATTCTGACGGTATCCGGTATATCACGGTATTTGGAACGATTCTGACGGTATCCGGTATATCGCGGTATTTCAGAACGATTCTGACGGTATCCGGCATATCACGGTATTTGAGACGATTCTGACGGTATCCGGTATATCACGGTATTTGGAACGATTCTGACGGTATCCGGTATATCGCGGTATTTGAAACGATTCTGACGGTATCCGGTATATCACGGTATTTGAAACGATTCTGGCGGTATCCGGTATATCACGGTATTTAGAACGATTCTGACGGTATCCGGTATATCACGGTATTTTGGACGATTCTGACGGTATCCGGTATATCGCGGTATTTGAACGATACTGACGGTATCCGGTATATCACGGTATTTGGAACGATTCTGACGGTATCCGGTATATCGCGGTATTTGAAACGATTCTGACGGTATCCGGTATATCGCGGTATTTAGAACGATTCTGGCGGTATCCGGTATATCACGGTATTTAGAACGATTCTGGCAGTATCCGGTATATCACGGTATTTGGAACGATTCTGGCGGTATCTGGTATATCACGGTATTTAGAACGATTCTGGCGGTATCCGGTATATCACGGTATTTAGAACGATTCTGGCGGTATCTGGTATATCACGGTATTTAGAACGATTCTGGCGGTATCCGGTATATCACGGTATTTAGAACGATTCTGGCGGTATCCGGTATATCACGGTATTTAGAACGATTCTGGCGGTATCCGGTATATCACGGTATTTAGAACGATTCTGGCGGTATCTGGTATATCACGGTATTTAGAACGATTCTGGCGGTATCCCGTATATCACGGTATTTGGAACGATTCTGGCGGTATCTGGTATATCACGGTATTTAGAACGATTCTGGCGGTATCCGGTATATCACGGTATTTGGAACGATTCTGACGGTATCTGGTATATCACGGTATTTGGAACGATTCTGACGGTATCTGGTATATCACGGTATTTAGAACGATTCTGGCGGTTTATCACGGTGTTGCTTTTTCAAGTAAACACATCCATTTTTTGACCCCGAAAAGGACCGCGGCTACTCGATCCGCTGTTTGCTGCTCGCTGGCCAACGAGTTAGCGCGTTAGCTCGTGGCTGCTAGTGTTGCCACCAGAGGCTTGACAGACTTTGCGATAAATCATTTTCTGATCTAACGAAACTTACATTTGATTTTCCAAAATGTTCCATGACTCAATCTCAACATACATAAGACAAGTAGCTCTGGCCGCTCGCTCCACGATGACGTGTCAAAATAAATTCTGCCGCCTCCCGAAGAACGTCAGTTGTTTTGGCGTAACACCGGTATGAACGGTACGTGACAAATTCAAATTTCCGTACGAAGTATGAACCCTAATTCAAGTACCGTCGGAATAATCCGAAATACGATTGCCTGACCTGTAAATAACAACTCCAACACTGATGACATTTTGGTTCCTGGTTTACTGAGTCGACGTGACATGAGCTGAAGAAGCAGAAGAGTCAAAGCTCTGCGGGCTGATGGTGTCATTGTGGAGGTGAAGGAGCAGGTCTACCTGGCACACAGGTACTCGCAGGTCTCCTCCATGACTCTGGCGACCCCCAGATGATCCACGTCCGTCATGGAGAACACCTTCACGCCCAGAAGCTTCAGGATGTAGCTGTGAAACACGAGGTTCGTAAACATTACCTAAACGTTACATGAGATGAGGTCCTCAAGGGCCGGAGATAAAGACCTACTGCTCTGCTGGATCCAGGTCCCTCAGACCCACGTAGACCAGGTCTTTGGCCCAAACACACGGCTTGATCCACGAGAAGTTCGGCAGGACGGGAATCTGGAGATGAAGAACAGGTCTGCTAACAACACTGACAGGGCTGACATGCTGACAGGGCTAACAATGCTAACAATGCTAACAGGGCTAACAACAGCTCTGGCTAGCTAACGGTGCTAACAGATGGTGCTCCCCCACTGACCTCGTGCTGCAGCTCGTGCAGCAGGAAGGACATCGGCTGGCCATGGAGGTTCCCCGTGTGCGAGCTTAGCGGCGTGTTGACGTCGGCGTGGGCGTCGACCCACACGACGGCCACGCCCCCCACCGCCGCCGCGTGGCCGTGCACAGAGCCGATGGCCAGGCTGGGGAGGAACATGACATCATGGAAACAACCCGGAGTACTACTTTAATACTACTAGTACTACTCTTTATTACATTAGTACATTTCAGTTAAAATATTATTGAAGCCGTACTTCAGATTCTGTAGTGTTTTAATTTAAAGTCAAAGTGTCAATGATAAATTGTTTATTCTCAAACGTTCAGTGACACATGAACTCATCCATCGATCACGCTGTTTGATCTGTGTGTGTTCTGTTGGTGGATGATTGACAGACTGATTTCACTAAAGAACATATTTCAGTGTTTTGTACATTGAGTTTTGTTTTCACACCGAAGTATTAGTACTCTTGCACAGTATTTCACAGCGTACTTTGTTGCGTACTAATACCTGTGGTCTCCTCCCAGCATCACTGACGTGCGTCCGTCCCTCTTCACCGCTTGCACCACCTCTGACAGCCTCTGGTTGGCTCCGCCCACAGCGCGCACGCACTTCACCCGACCAATCGGCTCGTCCACCACCACGTCCTCGAACGCCACATTCCCATAATCCTTCACTTCACAGCCTGCAGGCCCCTCAGAGGTGAGGGAGGACCTGTTTATCATTGTTAATATTCCCTCCACTCGACTTCAGACAAGCCGTCAGGCAGGATTTACCCAGAATGCTCTTTGGCTGAACATTAACAGTCAGTAGATCATCGTCGGCGTGTGTGGAAATGTTTGAATGTTGCAAAGTAAACAAGACGAGCTGCTGAGTGACTTATGAACCGACACACACACGAGGACACACGGACACACACACACACACACACGAGGACACACACACACACACGGACACACACACACACACGCGGGGACACACGGACACACACACACACAAGGACACACACACACACACAAGGACACACACACACACAGACTCATCATTCGTCAGATCATTGAAGTTTTCTGATCTCAAATCTGTAGTTTGTCTCAACATTCCTCGTAGTAGTACTTGTTGTACTTATGTATTCGTAATACTGTGTTCCCTCTGAAACATGAGCTATTTTATCAGGACGTGTGTTTAAGTACCTCATGTGTGTTTTTATACTTCACATGTTCAGGATCCTAACGCACACACCGATCTATGTGTGTGTGTGTGAAGGTCAAGGTCAGAGATGCAGACACACACAGTGTGAGTGTCCCACATCTTCTGGTCGTAATGACTAATAAAGTTTGTTTGAACATAGTTTTTAAGTTTTATTTATTTCTGTTTAAAAACGGAGACACTTTTCTCTCTGATTTTTAGACGTGTTTACTACCTACTCAACTCCTCTCTGACATACAGATGTGTGGTATACTATGTGTAGTATATATAATATACGTATATTATATGCTGATGGTGGTGCTAGCATGTGTAATATGCATGTACTTATACTGTAGTAGGATTTTAAATGGAGTATGGAGGACCTCACCTTGCTGGTTCAGTCGGTCCAGGAGCCCCGCGGCTCTGATCAGGTCCGGCCCCCCCTCCACGCCCCCGCGAGGCTGCAACAACACAACGACAATAGCAGAAATCGCAACGCACGCGCTGCGGCGCGTGCTCGCGCACTCACCTGTCCCCTGGAGAAAGGTGCTCCCACGACGCCCACCGCCGCGCGGGGACGAAGAGCGAGCTGCCGCAGCATCCACGCGCTCCTCATGCTGAGCGACGAGTGTCCCGAAGACCTCCACGTGACGTCACGGGTTAATCAGTCAACTCTGGGTTCGAGCCTCGGATGTGCGACCAGGGTCAGTGACCCGTTCAGTAAACACCAACGAAACGCTTCTATTCAACTCTATTACTTTATTATGACAAAAGGAGGACGAGGTCTGATCTGTTGATTTATGCACGTGATGAAGATCTCCTTCATCTTCTGTTGAAACAAGTGTCCTTCTACAAAAATATGCTGATATCTGCACGGTTACAGATTGAAACATTAGTACATGATAATGTCAAAAGTATCATGTTACCAGAACAGAACACTTCATTGTACAATATTATTCATATCTGTTTTGTTCTGGAAACTCTAAACTTGTTCTCCACATACGTAACGTCCAGAGCATCACTACAGTGAAAGTAAAACACATGTTAAGTATACATGTCTAATACAAACATTGTATCTCCATCAATGTACTACTGCTCTCTCATATAGAGATAAACATCTACTACATGCAAACGGTTTGATGTCCTGCTTCTCAAATAGTGGAAATAACTCCCCGAATGACATCAGCACAGCAGAAAGCTTGTACAACTAAAAACACACCGCTACACACGACACCTGGACTCAGTAGCCCTTTATTAGCACTTACATTACATGTCATTTAGCTGACGCTTTCATCAAAAACGAGTGCATTCAACCATAGGGTACAAACTCAGAAGAACAAGAAACAAAAAAGTGCAATTTCCTCAAAGAAGGCAATTTACAATTTGCTATAGATGGCGTTACAAGTACAATTTAAGTGCTACAATTTGTTAGTCTTTAGTCGAGGTAGAGTCTGAAGAGGTGTGTCTTTAGTTTGCGGTGGAAGATGTGAAGGCTCTCTGTGGTCCTGATGTCTTCAGAGAGCTCGTTCCACCATTTAGGAGCAGGACAGCAAAGAGTCAAGATCTAGTCGAGTGTTTTTCTCTCAGTGAGGAGGAACAAGCAGTTTATCACATGCAGAGCGGAGAGTGCGGGTTGGGATGTCGGGTTGGACCAGGTCCTGGATGTAAGCTGGACCCCAGCCATTCACAGCACGGTACGTGAGCACCATGTTTAGAACTGGATGATCCACCGGTACCAGTGAAGAGAGCGGAGGAGTGGAGGAGTGAGGGAGAACTTAGGAAGGTTAAAGACCAGTCGAGCTGCTGCATTCTGAATGAGCTGCAGAGGTGGAATGGTGGTAGCAGGAGACCTGCAGGAGACAGTTACAGTAGTCCAGGAGGGCGACGACAAGAGCCTGAATCAGTACCTTCTGAGTCAGAAGAGGATGCGTTCTCCTGATGTTGTAGAGCGAGTATCTACAGGATCGTGTTGTCGCGGTGATGTTGGGAGTCAGGGAGAGTCGGCTGTCGATTGTGACGCCGAGGTTCCTAGCGGTCAAAGTGGGCGTTAACACGGAGTTGCCAAAGTTGACTGTCAGGTCCTGTGTTGGAGAGTCTTTTCCTGAAAAGAGAAGTAGTTCAGTCTGTCGGGGTTGATTTTCAGATGGTGGGCGGATCCACTGAGAGATGTCAGTTAGACAGGCAGAGATCCGAGTGAGGGAAGGAGAGAATTAGTTGGGTGTCATCAGCATCGCTGTGGTAGGAGAAGCCATGCGAGCGAATGACAGCGCCGAGAGAGTTGGTGTAGAACGAGAAGAGGAGGGGACCCAGGACGGAACCCTGAGGAACTCCCGTAGGAAGAGGACTAGGTTCCGACACAGATCCTCTCAGGTTACCCGTAGGTGCGGCCGTCGAGGTAGGACGAGAGAAGGGAGAGAGCAGAGCCTGAGACACCAAGTTCCTGAAGGGAGGAAATAAGGATCTGGTGGTTGACTGTGTCAAATGCAGCAGAGACGTCCAGAAGGTCCTCCTCCATTACCGTCTGGTACGCTGCAGCCACAGCCAAGGACAAGGGCAGGCTGCAGCGCGCCATCCGCTCTGCAGAGAGGCAGATCGGCTGCAATCTGCCGTCCCTGCAGGACTTGTTCACTTCCAGGTCTCTGAAGCAGCTATAAAGATGGTAGCCGACCCCTCTCACCCCGACAAAACCTGTTTGTGCCCCTTCCATCTGGCAGGAGGCTGAGGTCCATCAGGACTAAGAACTCCCGCCACACCAACAGTTTCTTCCCGTCGGCAGTTGGGCTCATGAACAGAGCCGGTCCCCCACTGACTGACTCTGACATCCCACCGGTCACTCTGCTTCATACTGCACATTTTCACTGTCAACAGAACAGGAAGATGTTCGCTGGTGCAATTAATTTTTAAATATTTCTAATTTTTTATTCCTTTATTTTTAAACTAACCCATAGCATTGTATTTTATGTTATTCCTCGTGCACTGTTGTCTTGTCGTTCATTGTCGTAATGTCTGCTGTTACGCACTTACCGCCAAGTCAAATTCCTTGTATGTCTGACATATTATGGCAATAAATGTTTCCTGATTCCTGATTCCTAACTGTTCATCGGAGCTCTTCCTGTGTCCTGCGTTCTAAATAATCTTATAACACACTACTAAAGTAGAATTCGCTGGTACATGAATTGCTGCTATGCGACCCGCTGAAATCAAATCAAATATTTATTAAAATGTATACAGTTTAGTACTCTGTAGACAATGATCTACAAACAGCAGTTGTATAGTCCCGCCCTACTCTGCTGTGATTGGCCAGTTTTAGGTACCTTCGTCCCATCCCACTGTGCTCTGATTGGCTAGTAACCCGGCGTGTCGTCACCCGGATGTAGAATCTCCGGAACGAGGTCTCTTCACGTGTGTGTTTATTTGAGTTACAGAAAAACAGGTTGGAGTCGTTTCTTCTTTAATTATCAGTAACGTATTGACTTGTTATTACTTTAGTGTTGTTCCGGTATGTTTAACCTTATATTCGGTGGTCGCGGGGCATTCGGTTTCGTTTTGCTTGTGACGTTTGAGACGTTAACAGTCGGAGAGTTAGCTTAACAAGCTACCAGGCTAACATGTGTGATACACGAGCAATCTAGACTAACGAGTTAATCCATATGCTTTAGTACAGGCGCACTGGTAGAGTAAGTCAAGTGAGTTGGTGTCGGAATGCAGCCGTTAACGGGGTATTTTAGCGGTCTGGACTTTATCGCACGAGAAACTGTAAAAATAACCTGTAGATTTAAGCTTTCCTTGCTCATCCCAAAGTGCACGCTCTGTGCAGACCGGAAGTCTAAGCTTCTTCTTAAACCAAAACATCAACTTTTAAATTCGGCATCAACATGACTAATTACTTATTAATGATCTTTGTCTTCATTTTGACACGTTTTCACTGCTTTTTACGACTGTTGTTATGGGCGCTACGGTTGCAGGCTGCGGTCATCAGGAGACAATAAGAAGTGGAGATCATGAAGTGGATTATTAATATGAACCTTCGGCGATTCTGTTTTTCAGAAGAATCTTTGATTCGTCTCTTTATCTTCTGGCCTCGCGTTGAACATGCTAATTTGAAGCTGTACTTACGTCACCAGACGTGTATCCGAATACAGAATTAACACATTTCTATTTACTTACATGCCAGTGATACTAGTGAACTGATGCCAGTTACTTACAACCCTCTTTGAAAAAAATCTTAACACAGTTATGACCTAATATTAATCCAATAACATAGTCAACATTGACATTTATCAATAACATGTTTCAATAATCTCATTAATCACATTAAAATATCAGTTTCTGGCCTTCTGTGTTGTCTTATTCTAAACTCCCACTGTGTGTGTGTGTGTGTGTGTGTGTGTCCACCCACCAGATCCCGTCACCATGACCTCGTTGGCCCACCAACTGAAGAGGCTCGCGCTGCCTCAGAGCGACCCCGACCTGCTGACCCGCAGAGAGGTCGCCTCGCTCCTCTTCCACCCCAAAGATGCCGCCTCTATGGACCGAAGCACCTTCTACGCCCTCGGTGAGTCCTGGTCAGGATCTGCATTGCCCGCCAGCAGCGCCCCTGTATTATATAACCGCCTCCTCCTCCTCCTCCAGGCTGCACAGGGCTGGAGGAGTTGCTGGGGATCGAACCCGCCCTGCTGGAGTTCCAGGACACCCTGTTCAGCCGGGCTTCGCTGACCCTAGAGCGCAGCGTCCAATCTAGGGAGGTCAACGAGAAGCTGGACGCCAGCATATCGCTCTTCCTCGCCCGCCTCGGCCCGTACTTCCTCCTCAGGCCGGCTCACAAGTGCCTCGAGTGGCTGGTCCACCGGTACAAGTCCTCCAGATGTTTTGGTTTAACGGGGGAGGAGACAGAGAAATAGCAGATGTAACTGCAGGTGTTCCTCACGTTGTGTTGCAGCTTCCACATCCATCTGTACAACGTGGACAGCCTGCTGGCCTGCGCGCTGCCATACCACGACACCAACGTCTTCGTCAGGGTCCTGCAGCTGCTGAAGATCAAAGACGCCACCAACCGCTGGAGCTGGCTGCATAGCTTGCAGGTGTGATTTTGACCCCCCCCTTTGTATTAGACGTGTGTGTGTGTGTGTGTGTGTTGATCTCCGTGCTGCTGCGTCCTCAGACAGGTGGCGTTCCGCTCTCCAGAGGAGCTCTGATCACCCACTGCTACACGGACCTGAGCTTCATGGACTTCATCTGCTCGCTGGTCACCAACGCCGTGCAGGTGACCACACGCCGATGATGATGTCTATGAGTATCTAGCTGCTTGTAACAGTAATACTAGCTCAGTGTAGAAGTACACGCTGAAAGTACAAGTTTTGCATTTGAGATTTTATTGTAGATAAATATTTCTCTAAAGTTTAAATCTGAGCTTCTGAAAAGATGGTGGTATGAGATGGCCCTCTTCTTCATCTTCATCCAGGCGTATTCAGGGCGCCTTGGTGACTGCTCCCAGCTCAGGGTGGTCTTCTCCTTCTACTCCTCCACCATCGTCTCCTCTCTGGAGGCTGTGGACAAAGTGTCCGACGTCATCATCTCCAAGCTGCTGCCATTCGTCCAGAAGGTGAAAACATCTCACAGACGTCATCTCGCGTGATGGAGGTGTTCTGGTACGGGCTCTCCTAACCTGCCTCCTCTTCCTCACAGGGTCTGAAGTCTCCTCTGACGGACTACAGAGCCTCCTCCTTCATGATTGTATGCCAGCTGGCGGTGAAGGTGGTGATGGAGGCGAGTCTGGTGGACTCCCTCGCTGCCCACGTCTGCAGGTCTCTGCTTGGGGGAGCGGCGCTTACCAGGGAGGGTCTGGGCTGCCTGACGGTGCTGCTGCAGAACCAGAAGGAGGGCTCTGTGGGGCCCAGGTAGGACCGGGATCAGCACTGGGGCTGGTGGGCTTCCTCTATGGGCGTGGCCTCCTCTGATCCGCCCTCTTTGTGTCCACCCCTCCTCAGGGCGTTCCTCAGCCTGAGCCGAGTGCCGGCGCTGGCCTCCACGCTACAGGCGATGGCGACGAACCACGACGTGGCTCCTCTGCTGCGCTACCTGTTGCCTCACCTGATCCACGCTGTCTTCAGCCCCTCCCCAGGTGAGAGCCAGAGCCCCGCCCCTCTCTCTGTTTGTGAGAAGACACCCTGTTCACCTGTCCTCCTTTGTCCCAGGTGTGGCGCAGACCGACGAGCTCGGCGTGCTGGAGGCCGTCCTGAAGTCTGTCCCTCTGACCGGAGACCTGGACCGAACGGCAGCGCGGTAAACGCACCTTCGTCACCTACAGCATCAACAACAAACCCTAGAATTGGGACATTGAATCAAAGCATTTTATTAACATGTCTAATTTAAAATCTGCAAAAAATAGAAGCCCAGTGAAACTGACGTTGTGATTGAAGTCATGTGACCATAAATCGTAAGTTTGTAATAATGTAAATAGTTTCATACCCCCCTTTCTCTCCCAACATGTGTAAACGATGGTTCTGTTTCTATAGAAATTAGAGGACTTTGATTATGTCAGAATTGGGCGAGCTAGAAGGTGACATGTTGGCGTTGCAGGTTGATGCTGGAAGAGTACCTCGGTCATGTTGAACTCTCCGCTGAGGAAACCTCGGACCTCCACCGCCGCCTCTCCCCTCTGGTCCGGCTGTTTGAATCCAGGTGAGTCCAGCTGCCGGACGCTCTTCATTTATCGCTGTTTTACACGCTCTGCGTTAGCGTTAGCTCTGCGGTCCTCCTTCCCCAGATACTGCGCCGCTATGGACGGCCTCCTCGTGGGTCACGTGGCCGGCGTCGGTGAGCAGAGGCGTCGGTACCTGCAGTTCCTCTCTCTGTCCACCTGCAGCGGGAAACACCAGGTACACACACGGGCCGCCGTTACAACAAGGTGTGTGTGACGTAGCTAACGTGCTTTCCTCCGTAAGGTAATCGGTGACTCGGACACGTCGCTGCTGCTCAGTCTGAAACACCCGCAGCCTTCCGTCAGGGTCTCTGCGTTGGAGCACCTGATGGGCGTGGTCGCCTCCGCTCAGGTAACGTCACGGTGCACAGGTGACATCGCGGTCAATAGAGACGGATTCCTCTGCTACTTTCTAAATGCTTCATCTCGTGGGAAGCTACGTCAGGTTATTGTGCTCCTCAAGGCTCTAAACCTTTTCCGTTTTATCTCACGTGGCTCCAGCCGAGTTTAGACGAAGTCTTCGTCAGAGACGCCGTCACGGACCGACTGAAGGACGACGTGCCTGAGGTCGTGTCAGCCACTCTCAAGGTCATGGAGGTCAGTGTGACGGAGGAGGAAGGGGGTCGGGTGTGACGGGTCAAAGGAGAAGACAGCTGACGGTTGTTGTGTTCAGGTTCTGTTGGACGTGTTGGATCCCGAGGACTCGGTGTCCTCTCTATTGTCGCTGCTGCACAGAGACGATTCGTCCCAGGACGATCACTGGTCAGTGAACTACACACACATCTACAACGGGATAAACTAAAATAATCCTTTACTCGTCCCACACGGGGGATTTTCACCCGTTATCATTATAAGGAATAATGGCGATGCCTTTGTGTCCTGTCCGTAACTCTGAGCTCTGCATCGTCTCCCGCAGGCTGCCGGTGCTGACGGAGGCGGTGCATTTACTGTCCGATCCACGGCTAGGAAAAGGGGACACCGAGCTGGTGCAGAAGGCTGGCTGGCGGCTCCTGCCCTTCCTGGTCATCACCTCCTCGGACGAGCTCAGCTTGGTCTCCTGCGTCGCCCGGTCCGCCGTCGTGTGCCGACACCCGCTCACCCGGAACTGGGCTCCAGGTACCAGACCTACAGAGGGATCCAGAAGGACTTATGTGGGACACATAAAATACAAACAGCTCTATAGAATAAAAGTGGAGGATTAGTTCGGCGCATTAGCAGCTGGTTTATTTCACCTAAAGTTTTCTCACAGAGTTTGACGAGCTGATGAAGACGAGCGGGGATGAAGACTTTGTGGGTTCGGCCAACGAACGCCTGGTCTCCACGTTGACCGAGAACCTGTCGAACATGGAGAACTCCTCTAGACGGGACGCCGTGAGTCCAGTTATTAGTTATTTGAAGGAGGAAACTGTTTGATTGAAATGAGACTTTTCTTTGTCAGACGTGATGTGTTCAAGGGCCGTCAGAAAGAACATCGATAGAATGTTATTAAAAGTTTTTTAATCTTCCGAATGTTAAACTGTTAAATGTGACGTTCTACTGAAGACCAACCAGCTCCACGATGAACTCTTGTCTCCGTCAGCTGGAGCAGCTGGCCCAGCTGGTGGAGCAGCAGCGGGGCTCCTCCCTCCGGGCCCGGGCCTCCTTCCCGGTGCTGACCCGGACTCTGCTGCGTTGCCTGGGCCAGCTGAGCGGGACCCAGCACCTGCTCACCGCCCAGCGGGTCTACGCGCTGCTGGAGGCGCGGCTGCTGGAGGTCATCGGGGTCGCCGGCCAGGTGAGAGCCTCCGAAACCTCTTTAGTCTAGAAACGGTTTATTACGTCATTCAGAAGCTTTGAGATAATTAAATATTTTCATGAAAATGACAGAAACCGCATTAATAAAATAAAGTGACATTGAAACCTGGTCATTGCTTTTCTAACAGGAAGTTGTGAGCCGTGTGGCGCCCTCCTTCTCCGAAGCCCTGACGCTCTACCTGAGCAGCTGTGGGCGACCAGGTGAGCGGCCGGACCAAGAGTTCAGCTTCATCCTGATCTCTCTGCTCAGAGACTTCATCTCCTCCCTGCGGTGCCACGACGCCTCCTTCAAAGGTAAGTGAGTGTCCACACGTCCCCCAGGTGAGCTCACCTGAAGTCACGTGTCCAAACGTCCCCCAGGTGAGCTCACCTGAAGTCACGTGTCCACACGTCCCCCAGGTGAGCTCACCCGAAGTCACGTGTCCAAACGTCCCCCAGGTGAGCTCACCCGAAGTCACGTGTCCACACGTCCCCCAGGTGAGCTCACCCGAAGTCACGTGTCCACACGTCCCCCAGGTGAGCTCACCCGAAGTCACGTGTCCACACGTCCCCCAGGTGAGCTCACCCGAAGTCACGTGTCCACACGTCCCCCAGGTGAGCTCACCCGAAGTCACGTGTCCAAACGTCCCCCAGGTGAGCTCACCCGAAGTCACGTGTCCAAACGTCCCCCAGGTGAGCTCACCCGAAGTCATGTCTTCATGTCGTGTGTTCACGTCTCTCCCAGGTGACGTGTGGTGGAACCCGGAGAAGTTTGACACAAACACCTGTTGTTACCTCGGGATCACCTGCCGTCTCTTTGGTGTCATCATAAGCGGCGCCGGCGAGGGGCCGTCCGCTGCCAGCTTCCGGGACCTGATGAAGCTGCTGATCCAGGTGGGAGTTCACTTCCTGTCTACCAGTCACACCTGTGGTTCATCTCGGGTCGAGAAATGAAATGTTTTTGGAATGTAGCCTAGCTTAGCATAAAGTCTGACCCCCCCACAGGTTCACCTCAGTGAGCCGCCGATGCTCTTCCGCTTCCTGTGCGTGCTGTGGGGCTACAGCAGTAACCATGGCGACCAGCTGGACGTGAAGGTGGGCGCCGTCCTGCAGACCCGGGCCCTGTATGTGGGCGGGGCTCTACTGAGCGCCATGCCGGCTGTCACGCTGGAGCAGCTGGTCGCCGCTGACTCGCCCGGTAAGGAATCTCACACACCTGGCTTTCGCCACATGCTAACACGCTAAGCTAAGTTAGGTAACAACCCGTCTGTGTCTCAGTGGTCCCGTCCCTGCTCTGCTGTCTCACCTCTCCGGTTCGGGAGGTGCGGAGGGCGGCGCTCGCCGCCCTGCAAGTCCTTTCAGAGGCTGCCGCTTCTCCCTTCCAGCCAATCACAGAGAGGCTCCTGAAGACCTCAGAAGAGATCATCGCTGACCCGACGTACCTGAGCCAGGTGAGTTGGATAAGGCAGTGGTCCAAACGTGTGCATGTATAACATACAACCTATTAATCTACAGGCTCTGGGGCGACTCCATGACGAGTCGACGTCCCTCAAAGCGACGTCCATGCAGAAGAAGATGCGCTCCTCCATCACTCAGCTGCTGCAGAGCGCCCAGACCCCCAGCTGCCCCTCCTACAGTGCCTGCAGCCTGCTGGGAGCTCTGAGCCAGGTCAACGGACAGGTGAGCGGGGGAACACACCTGAGCACAGCATCCCCCATCACTGGACCCCCCCGGGGCCTCATCACACACCTTCTGTCTCTCTCAGTCCGTCCTGTCCAACCTGCTGCCCGTCCTGGAGCGCCTCCTGGAGCAGAGCACCCCCGAGGGCCCCGCCCCCCTGCGCTCCGAGGCCCGCCTGGTGCACCTGGTCCTGGGGAAGTACAACGAGGCGGCGGCCCCCCTGCTGGCAAGAGACCAGAGCTGCTTGGACCTGTTCATCAGGGCCCTGAAGACCTCCAGCCAGCCCCACCCCGACATGCCCCCCTGCCAGGTCATCGCCCTGGAACAGGTAACTCCGAGCCTGGTTTGAGGCCGGGGCAAAGAGCCTGTGGTCAAATAAAGGTTATTAACCCCCCCCCCCCCCCCCCCCCCCGCAGATCACCAAGCCCTTCTTCTCAGCACTGGGGTGCCAGTCGCTGCAGCAGCAGCTCCTGACGGTGGTGTTGGACGTGCTGGTGGAGACCAGCAGTCCTCTGGTGGCCGACACCGTCAGCAGCGTCTTCAAGGCGGTGAGACGCGACCTCCACCCGCAAACCCCACCCTGTGAGGCTCCACCTCCTGCTGGCTGCTCAGCTGACCTGGTCCTTGTCTCGTCTGTGTGTCAGGTGACCATCGACGGGCAGCTGGTGGCCAATGAGCTGACTCCACCCGAGAGACCCAAAGAGAGCATGACGGTGCAGCAGACCCGGCGTAGCATGATGAGTCAGAGGTGGAGTTCATCATCTGGATCCCAATCCACTGCAGCGCTATTGTACTTCTTACTGTACTACATCTCACATGTAGTACTTCACCCTCCATGTACCCGTTTAGGTTGTTGACTAAAGTTTATTCTTTATGACGGATTAAACTACCTGCAGTGTTTAACGTTGTCGTGTCCCGGACCAGGAGGCTCCAGGGGGCCTGTGAGGGGGGGGCGGGCGTGTCGTGGAGGAGGGTCACGCTCATCCTGGAGCTGCTGCAGCACAAGAAGAAGCTGAAGAGAGCCCAGATGTTGGTCCCAACTCTGTTCTCCCTGCTCGCCAGGTAACGAGGTTAACGAGCTGCTGGTTAACGAAGTATTGAGTTAAGACGAATTGTTTGTATAATTGACGACCTTTCGATTGACCCCCTGCGCGTCTTCTCAGGAGTCAGCAGGCTCGTCCCGGCGAGCAGGTCAACATGGAGTACACCAAGCAGCTGCTGCTCAGCTGTCTGCTCAACATCTGTCACAAGCTGTGTCCTGAAGGGGGCGCCGCTGGTCCCGGTGGGTCAGCAGAGACTCATTGACACCAGAAGAAGAACCCAACTGAGCCCGCTAACTGTCCCCTCTCCCCCCTCTGCAGCCCCCCTGGAGGAGGACAAGTTCAACGTGGAGCTGGTGGTTCAATGCATCAGAACCTCTGACGTGCCCCAGACTCACCACCACGCCCTGCTGCTGCTCGCCACCGCCGCCGCCATCTTCCCTGTGAGTGAGATCAGGCGTACTGCGGTGGTCAGTGTGTGAGAGGATGTGGTGATGATCATGTGACCTGTATCCGATTCCCCTCCTAGGAGAAGGTCCTGCTTAACATCATGCCCATCTTCACCTTCATGGGTGCCAACATCATGCGCCTGGACGACGCCTACAGTTTCAGAGTCATCGACAGGACGGTTCAGATGGTGATACCGGCTCTGATCCAGGTGAGACGCACGGGAAACATCTGGAGACCAACATCTGGAGCGCTCAGAGATTCACCACCTTCTCCTCCTCTTCCTCGCCCTCCTCAGGCCCACCAGCTTGCAGACGGCAGCTCTCCCTCTCACGTGGTTGCCGTGGTAACTCGGATCCTCCACGTCTTTGCCGACGCTCTTCCTCACGTCCCCGATCACCGGCGGCTTCCCATCCTCAGTCAGCTGATGACCACGCTGGGCCCCGAGCGCTTCCTCTGGGTCCTAATGCTCATCCTATTCAAGCTGCACGCCACGCAGACTGCCAGGTCCACCAGCGAGAAGGCAGGTGGTTTCGGAGCAAGGCATTGTGGGAGTTGTAGTATTGGTACACGATCGGCTAATGAAAAGTGTGTTTGTGATTTTAGGATGTGGCTCTTGAGAAAGACGTGGACTTCTGGATTTCTCTCAGTTGTCGGTTCGACGTCACGGATCAGCTGACCACCATCATCAACATCCTGCACTTCCTGCTGCAGCTTCCTGACGACAGAGACGCCGGTGAGGAGTTTAAACGTCTCCCTCCAGACGGGAAATAACACTGCTTTAAAGTTTTCAACGGGGGAGCAACTGAGCATGTTCTCATATACGTTTGCAGCTCCGGTGAAGCGCCGGGCAGGACCCACAAAGAAGAAGACGGAGGAGGAGGAGGTGGAGGAGGTGCAGGAGCTGATCTTCAGTCTGGAGAGCCACAGCAGCAAAGAGCTGAGGCACTTCAAGTTCCTCTCGCTCTCCTTCATGGCTCAGCTGCTCGGCTCGGCCAGCTTCGTGGGGAAGGTGCGTTCACTGACCAGTTCGTGGTGTTCACTGACACGCGCGTTCTGTGTGTGTGAAGCGCTCTGAATGACCGGCGTGTGGCGTTCACTGACACACGCGCTCTGAATGACCGGCGTGTGGCGTTCACTGACACACGCGCTCTGAATGACCAGCAGCGTGTGGCGTTCACTGACACACGCGCTCTGAATGACCAGCAGCGTGTGGCGTTCACTGACACACGCGCTCTGAATGACCGGCGTGTGGCGTTCACTGACACACGCGCTCTGAATGACCAGCAGCGTGTGGCGTTCACTGACACACGCGCTCTGAATGACCAGCAGCGTGTGGCGTTCACTGACACACGCGCTCTGAATGACCGGCGTGTGGCGTTCACTGACACACGCGCTCTGAATGACCAGCAGCGTGTGGCGTTCACTGACACACGCGCTCTGAATGACCGGCGTGTGGCGTTCACTGACACACGCGCTCTGAATGACCGGCGTGTGGCGTTCACTGACACACGCGCTCTGAATGACCGGCGTGTGGCGTTCACTGACACAGAACGCGTTCTGCGTTACAGGTTGCGGACGAAGTCGATGCCGTGGACGAGTCTCTGCAGCAGAGGTGAGTCTCTCCTCGCGATGAGGAGGAAGGAGGTGATCAGTGTGCGAGGGCGCAGCAGGAGGTGATCGCTGCCCGATGTCTTTCAGGCTGCTGGAGGAGGTGCTGCGCTACGTCCACAGCGTTGCTCGCTGCGTGGAGGACAACACGGACCGGCCCACCGCCAAGTTCTGGAGGGTTCTGCTCAACAAAGCCTACGAAGTCCTGGACAAGGTGAACTCCCTGTTGCCCACGGATACCTTCATCACGGTGATGAGGGGGCTGATGGGTAACCACCTGCCCTCCGTCAGGAGGAAGGCCATGGAGCTGCTGAACAACAAGCTGCAGCACCGCACCCAGTGGGAGGAGCAGCAGGTGACGTAGCTCAACATATCTACCACACTAACTTCACCTGCTATAGTTTTATTACATCGTCCCACACCGTCTCCTCAGGTCACTGTGCTCCTACAGCTGACCGGCGACCTCCTGAGCATTGTGGGTAAAGGCGGCGCCCAGGGGACGCAGGCGGAGCAGGCCATCAACCGCCAGACGGCGCTCTACAGCCTCAAGCTGCTCTGTCGCAGTTTCGGCAGCGACCACCAGGAGGCGTTCGTGCCCGTCCTGCGGCACACGGTGGACATCGTCATGACGACGGAGGAGGAGAAGAACGTGACGGGCAGCGCTCTGCTCTGCATCGCCGAGGCCGTCGCCACGTTGAAGGCCCTCGCCATCCCACAGTTACCAAGGTATCCGCTGGTCGCGCTCCAATACAACATGCTAGTAATGTGAGCTCTGAACTACTGGTGTCTCACTGTGTGTGTGTATATATATATATATATATATATATATGTATGTAGTATTATGTATATATATACATACTGATGGAGCATCGTTATTTCTCTCTGGGCCTCAGGTTGATGCCGGCGGTGCTCAGCGCGCTGACGGACAGGAAGGAGCTGTTGACCAATGAGATCTACCTGCTGAGCGCCGTCACCGCCCTGCAGCGCGTCGCGGAGACGCTGCCTCACTTCATCAGCCCGTACCTACAGGACACCACCTCTCAGGTACAACTCACCTGAGACCACGCCCACTCAGGAAATGACACGCCCAGGGTGACGCCTCACTCCCCTCCTCCCCCCCCTCCCACAGGTGTGTCGGCTGACTCGGCTGGTGGAGACTTCCTCGTCCTCTTCCTCCTCCTCCACTCAGCTGTCTGCTCGTCTGGCCTCCCTCAGGAGCTCCCTCGCCACCCGGCTGCCCCCCAGGGTCCTACTGCCCACCCTCACCAGGTGCTACGGCAGCATGGTGGTGGACAGGAAGGTAGAGATCAGCTGACTGCCTTGATTTCAAAACAAACAGTTTAGTCTTTTTGGAGTAAAAAGTTGTTGATTTGATGTTTGTTTTCTTCTTTTGAATCCTCAGAAGCAAAGCTTAGCAGTGTTCACTACTACTACTACTACTACTAAGCCACATGCTTCTGGAGCTTAGAATCTGATTGGTGCTTTTTTCTCTTACAAAGCAGCAGCAGAGGCTCATGGGTACTGTAGTCATTTTAGTCCAGACCCAGAGAGGAAACAAACTATTACATTTCAATCGCAGTCAAAAAGTTAAATAATTTACTAGTAGCTGGTCAGAACATGAGGACGTGTGATGCTCTGCCGTTGACATTGATCGTTGATCGGACGATGACTGATTGCTGTGTTTCCTTTTAGCGTCAGCTGGGGGCGCTGATGAGCATCCTGAAGGAACACATTGGTCACATGGAGAAAGACCAGCTCAACTTCCACCAATCAGAGCTCACCTCCTTCTTCCTCACTGCCCTGGACTTCAGAGCCGAACACTGTCAGGTGATTCCCACGACTCCTCTGCTCCCATAGACGTCTATGAGGAAATGACTCTACTTCTCTGTAGTGACCAGCAGGGGGCGACTCCTCTGCTCCCATAGACGTCTATGAGGAAATGACTCTACTTCTCTCTTGATTTATTCCCTCAGTAAACATTGTAAACATGAGTTTATGGTCTCAGTCTCTAGTTTAGAGTCTTCTATGGTCCATTTAGAGTCAAACAGACCATAAAGCAGGAGATACTTTAGGGCGGGGCTACACGCTGATTGACAGGTTTAACCCCCTGACTTCCTGTTTGCAGGGCGATCTGCAGAAGACAGCGGAGGTCGAAGGTCACGTGATCAACTGCCTGATCACCATGGTGATGAAGCTGTCGGAGGTCACGTTTAGGCCGTTGTTCTTCAAGGTAACGCGCGCCGGCGAGGAGCGCTTGCTCGTCAGTGGGCGAAAGTCGTGGGTTTGATTCCGTGCTCTCTCGCTCCCAGCTCCTGGACTGGAGTAAGTCGGCGAGCGGCGAGCGGCTGCTGACCTTCTACCGCTTGAGTGACGTCATCGCCGGGAAGCTCAAAGGACTCTTCGTCCTGTTCGCTGGAAACCTGGTGAAGCCGATGTCAGAGCTCCTGAGACAGACGGCCGGGTCCAAACCAGGTGACTGACTACAGCTGTATAGTCTCCTCTATATCATGGTCACTGATACCAAGTCATCTATTTCTGTGTTATATTAAATCAAGTATTTTATTATAATCCATTCATTGTGTGAGGGGGTCGTTGATGATTATTGATTATTGTCAGATGAGGCGCTGTTTGGCTCTGAGGAGAAGACCAGTCTGCTGCTCCGCTCCGTGCTCGACTGTCTCTTTAAGATCTTCCTGTTCGACACCCAGAGGTTCCTCAGCAGGGAGCGGGCCGACGCCCTGATGGGCCCGCTGGTGGACCAGGTGAGCCTCTTCCCGTCCGTGTCCCCCGTCTCCCCCCGACCTCTGTGGAAAATGTCACGGGGTCAAGGGAAGATGGTTAGGAGAGTTCACGAGGAGTTAGGAAAGGACAAGGTGCATGACGGGTCATTCCACTCAAGGAGGACTGTTCCAATCCAGCCTCACGCTCCTCTTGTTCCTCCCTCCCTGCAGCTGGGGAACACCGCAGGAGGAGACCAGGTGTACCAGGTGATGGTGACCCAGCACCTGGTTCCCTGTGTGGGTCAGTTCTGTGCAGCGCTGACTGACGACTCGCAGTGGAAGACCCTCAACTACCAGGTCCTCCTGAAGACCAGACACCCCGAGTCCAAGGTGAGAGCTCCTGTGTGGCTCCACTAGAACCTGCTGACCCTCTTCAGTCTGGATTCTGTCCCACTAGATGAAACTTTCCTCAACAATTATAAAATGTGTAATTTACCGGAGTAAATCATGAAAATACTTCTTCTTCCTCCTCAGGTGCGTTTCTCCTCTCTGTTGGTGCTGATGGAGTTGGCGTCCAAACTGAAGGAGAACTACATGGTTCTTCTTCCAGAGACGATCCCCTTCCTGGCTGAACTGATGGAGGGTGAGGACACACTCTCGCTCCTGGTGTTGACTTTGTGTTTGGAATTGATGATCGTGGTTCAATATGTATTCTATTTGCTTCAGATGAATGTGAGGAGGTGGAGCAGCAGGTCCAGAAGGTGGTTCAGGAGATGGAGAACATCCTGGGAGAACCGCTTCAGAGCTACTTCTAACACACACGCACAACTTTTTAAACATTATTTGTCCTCTTTGGATTTTTCTTTGGAATAAACATTTAAGTCAATTTTCAAACAACAAAACTACGATCAATGAATGTTTCTTTTATTGAGAGAAATAGTTCCACCAGATACAAGAAGACATTTGATCACTCTTTGGTTGACCTGTAGATCAATACAGCTGATCGGAATGCTTTCATGGATTTGATCTACTAAAGTGTAACAAAGAATATAAACTTTTATAATATAAGCTGTAATAAGTCCTCAGCAGGCAAACAGGGAAATTAGATCACATCAAATAGGTGATCAATGCTCAATAACCGCATTGATCTACTCTCCCCTGTAAATGACGATGTTTTTGTCCGTCTCGTGAATCTTGATCTCGTGCAGAAGGTTTGGAGGAAGAACTTTGATCATCTCATTCCAGATATGAACAGCAACGTTCTCCGTGGTGCTGAGGGACAAAACTTATTACTAACTTACTATCTATCGTTAACAAAACAGGAAACTCAAATAACTAAACGTTATTAACTGTCGTTAACCAAACAGAAGGAAAGTCACCTGACGACGCTTCTGAAGTACGGGACGTCCTGGTCCAGGTTCTTGTGGTCCAGTGGCGTCATGATGACGTCCTGCACATGGACACTTGTTATTGTTACGATCAGCAAAAGAAACGGGCCTGTGTGCTGTGCAACGATGAAGATGATGAAGAGGATCTCACCTCAATGCACTTCTTTAAGTCAGTCAGGTTCATGACCATCCCAGTGACACGGTCGATCTGAGGACGAAGGATCAGCAACATGACGTTTAAAAGAATATCAACATTTATACCAAATACCAACAATTTATCATTTATTTTGTAAAATACATCATAAAAAGGTGGAAACATGTTGAAATGTGAATAAATGTGGTAGAAAAAAAGACATGAAGAAAAATCAATTTCCCGTCCTCAAAACTATAGAATCGTTGAATATGTAAAAAAGGCTACAATGTAATAAAGAGTAATAGAGTGTAACACCAGGATGTAAAAGGACAGCATGAAGGAAACATCAGCTGATCCAAAGAGCAAACGGCTGATCAGTCAGCTGACCCCCTTCTACGCGCCAATTTGCTGATGCTTGTTTGTAGATGCTCACCTTTCCACGCACGGTGACCTCCACTGGGGGGGGGAGAGGGAGAGAGGGTGAGTGAGAGAGTGAGTGAATGAGTGAGTGAGTGAGCGAGCCACGGGTCACGTGACCACAGACCTTTGTAGTTGTGTCCGTGTCCGTTGGGGTTGTTGCATTTTCCGTACACGGCCTTGTTGTCGTCTTCACTGAGGTGAACGCTGCAGAGAAGAACAAACATCGTGGTGCCTTCAGGAGCCAATGGGACACTCGAGCTTCACATTCAGAAGCAGTTCAGGAGGAGATTTGAAACTCAAAAGTTAATTAACCATTTAAAAAATGTATCTAAAGCAGAACTTTTGATTGGCTTGTTTTTAAAGGAAAATCAAGAATAAATAAATACATTTTCTGGTCCACGTTCTCTCTTTTACTACACGTTTGAGGGCACTTGAAGGCAACACCAGATGTCTCTCCGGCATCAAACCTCCGAACTAAACGCGCTGGTCGTGGCCGGAAAGCAGCGACCGTGTGTCGCTGGTTCCCCGGGACCGGGACCGTGTGTCCGTACCTGTGCAGCCGGTGACAGGCGCTGAAGCTCTGGACCCGGGTGATGTAGCCCACCGGCTCCGCTGCGCCGCTCCCAGACGACCCGGACATGCTCGGTACCGGATTCATGGAGGAGAACCGAGAGCCTGCAGAGAGCCGCGAAAGATAAAGGGCTGCTGCCCCCCCCCCCTCTCATGCACTCCCCCATATGCACACCCCGTGACCCTCAGTGGCTGCAGGCCATTGGCTACGGACCCACATGGTCCCTCAGGCCGATCCGGATTAACGAGACTAATCGGAACATTTACACACTCCCTCTCCATGTGACTGAGCAACGGACCGTATTAATTCTATATATATATATTAATACCGTATTGATATATATAATATGTAGTATTATTAAATACAAATATTAAATTAGTACAGTATACCTACAGAAAAGAGGAAACATATTTAATGGCACCAGCTCGTGTTTTGTGTGTTTAATGTTCATCTATAATTGATTGTTGATCGTGTGAGTAAAGACTCACCGTGACGTCTTCAATGTCACATGACAGCGTGACGTCACCTACTTCTGGCCGTTATAGAATGATGATAATGATGATGATGATGATGATGTTGAGGGTAATTAAAAGTTTCTGCTGGTGAACAGGTTTATTCAAATAATAAATCAATTAATTAAGAACACACACATTTTATTAAACCTGAGCAGGAAATAATTATCTTTATTTTAAAACTGAGTTCATTATTGAATGTACAGAACGTCTTTTGCATTGTTCATTCTGTACACATGACATCCGTTGCAGTCTGTCCAGGGAGAGGGGTCCTCCTCTGACCTTCTCCTTAAGGTTTCTTTCCTTGTTTACCCATGGAAGGGTTTGCTGATGTGAGGGTCATCAAATACAGCAGTAGACATTTGTGTTTGTTAAGTTCGAAACATATTAAATACATCAAATAAATGAATCAAATGAGTCATTATTATTTACCTCACTCTGATCTGTTAAACTTTGCTCATTCCTTTTGGAAACTTTTTCCACACAATAATGTTTTTGATTTCTTTTAAACCCTCAAAAACCACGCGATCAGAATGCTTCATAAAAAAGGAGGGGAACCATCTTAATCGTAATGTATTATCTTTGGTAGCTCCCCCACGCAGGGTATTTATTCCTCCCGCCACACGGAGGCGATAAATCATCGCTGTCGCTATAAAACCGTTTGCATCTGTAATTAAATCACCGAACCACCAGCTGCTTTTACTCTCTTTTTGACTTCTTGTTATTTTGTCACTAAACCTTTAGAACATGTTTCTCCTCCAGACGAGTCTCTGTGACACGTACATGTTTGCATCGCTACGTCGTCGCTAACCGGCGTTATCTAACGGGAAAAACAGGAGCGCAAGCTGGCCTTCCAGCTTTAATATTATCGTTAAGTACGTAATAAGCGTCATCCAGCAACTGCTTTTATCTTTAATAAGTCCGCTGTGGAAGAGTCGCCATCTTGTCCGGAAGTTTGGCTGAAGGTGAGTATTTTAAAACTAAAGTTAATTAAATTTTACTCTTCGTCCATGGGTCGGAGCTAAAGATACCGTTAGCACAGCCACCATTCGTTTTTCGCGGGGCCCCGCCCACCACGGATTATCATTGGTCCGCTGAAACATCCTCTGCCTGAGCTCCGCGTTGATTGGCTGGAGTCCGACTGTACCTTTTAAACTGTAGTTCATGGTTCAACACACGTGGGCGAGCTTTTTATTTTTTGATTTAACACATTCAGTAATACATATTAAAAGAATACACAAGAGGGGTGAAAATATTAGCTCAATCACAGTAAACTTCTGATAGAACAGAAGGAGAAACATTTTATCATTACTACTTTAACTGCATACATCTTTTGGTCTAATGTCAATAAGAATGAGACATTTGTCTTTATTAGACCGCACTAGAACAAGATTGGATTTTTTGATGGAAATGATATTCCATCACAGGTCATTTAGCTGACGCTTTTATCCAAAGCGACAGGGAGCAATCAGGGTTTTGGTGTCTTGCTCAGGGACACTTCCACATGGGGCAGCCGGGGCTCGAACCGCCAACCTCGCTGTTCCTGGCGCAAACTCTACTTCAGGCGCCACAAGACGTAAACAAAATAAATAATACAATGTTGTTGAACATGTGTCTGCTCCTCCTCCTCTCGCTGTGGGGCTCTGAGAAGGAGCAGCACCTCCTGGGGGATCATGTCCAGGCGGAGCCTCCGACTGGATGACGGCCTGTTGGACCGAAGTATTCCTCGCGGCAGCGCCTCCTTCAGTGTGGGAGGAGCCAGCTGGAGGAGCAACAGGTCTCTTTTCTCCTTCCTCCTCATCTCTTTTGCCCTCATTTTTCTCCCGTCAGTCTCCTTCTCCTCATCTTATGCCCTCGTCTTCTGTCCTCTGAGTGTCCTCCGTACCTTCTTCTGTCCTCAACCCTCTCCTTCACTTTCTTCCGCCCCCCCCTCGCAGGCCGTCTCGTCGCTCTCAGCTCTCGGCCTCCTGTTCGGAGTCTCTCCTTGTCGGTTCTCCTCGTCAAGCGTTGGTCCCGCCGCTCCTCAGCAGCAGCGTTGCCTCTGACGCCTCCTTGCTGTCCTCTCTGCTGGACGACTCTGTGCAGGAGTCCACGCTGGTTGACACCTTCTGGGGTAAGACGCCTCCTCTTTTTTTCCTCCTCCCTCTGATGTACTGGTCTTTTATTTTGGAGGGAAGTGATTTTGTTTCCCTTCTTTTTGCAGGCTTGGACCAGGAGTTTGATCCCAAAGGTCAATTTATCTTCTCAATAAATAATAAAGGAATAAGTCTCTGATTTCAAAGGTTGATTGATTGTGCCATGTGCTTCCTATGGATCTCTGCTCCAGACGGCACCGTGGTGGTGAACCAGCGCTCTGTGGACGCAAACCTCCGTTGTCCCAAACATCTGCTTCAGACTCCCAGCCGGGTTCACTGTCGAGAATGTGATCAGGCCGCCGGCTCGTACCGCTGCGCCTCCTCAGAGGCCTCCACCATCTACGGTAGAGACCGGAGCCGCAAGACAGGTGAGGGGGGGGCAGATAAGGGCAGTGAGGGACAGGTGAGGCGGACGTGGGGGAGGAGGGACACGTGAAGACGGGTGCGGTGCCGCTCTGGTCTTCGGTGAGCCCTCATCATGTGACCGGTCGCACACGGGATGCTGCTCTGTGGCTCCGCCCCCATAAATCAAATCCCGTCTGTCCCAGTGAGTCCCAGTCAGGTGTCCCAGAGATCTTCATTGGGGCTCGACTCTCTTCCAGATGTGCTGCAGCTGTGGCTCCGCCCCCCTCTGCTGTGCGTCAGCAGAGCTGCAGCCGGCTGCGTGCGTGTCCTCGCGCGTACCTGGCAGGTGTTCTCACAGGCCGAGGACGGACACGGAGGTACTGAGTGTAGGGGTTTCTACGAGGGGGGTGTACCAGTCCACTGTGGGTCCTACCTGACAACACCAGGAGCAAGAAGAACGTCACCTTCTCCTCACACTCACCTCCTTATTCGGGTGTTCTTCTTAAAACTCTCCAGAACCTTCTCAGTGACCACTTCAGGAACCCTACAACAAGTAAAGGACATTTTAGAACCTGTCCCATGACCAGTGGACTGTCCTAAAGGAACACTAGGACCCACTTCTCATGACCTAGAAGAACCTCAAGGACAAAAGAGGTTCAGTGACCAACAGAACCTTCTGGCGGGTCCTCGGCCTCACAAACTTTCCCATGATGCTTAGTGTCTGCACAGGTTTGGTTCTCCTGCTGTCTCACCCGTTTCCCTCCCAACCTCCTCACTTTGGTTGTTGCCGTGGCGAAATGCAAATGTGCCCCCCTCCCCGTCTGAGTCGGCTCAGTCTCAGAATGTCTTTCTTCTGTTAACAGCTGCACCTGGTCTCTGTGGAGTCATGGACCTGAAGGAGTCCACCTCCACCCAGAAGGAGCTCCATGCAGAGGGATCTCTGTGTGAGTCATGGCACTCGTCTGTCTCGCCTCCTCCTATGGTTTTGTTTCTTGTCTCTCCGGGTGTCTGACACAGATTTAAGTCTCTCCTGTGGAAACGTCTGCTGTCCCCAACAGGTGAGGACTGTCGGGACAAACGGTCCTCCTCCTGCTCCTCGCTGGCTTCCTGTTTGTTGGGTCTGATGTGGAACGCTGCTGTTTTCACAGGTTAAAGAACCACATCTGTTGGCTGGAAGTTCCTCTACTCCGTAGAATGAGATCATTGGTCCATCTGATTATTTCATTTTACAATAAGGAACCTGATTATTCTTTGTTGCAACGACAAGTTCTCCATCACCTTCTGTCCTTCAGCCTCCTCCTCTTCTCCTTTTATTGATGCGTTTCTTATTGACGAGCCTCCCGGCAGCGATGGTCCTTCTTCTCTGAATGGACCTCCGTCTCGCTCTTTGCTGCTTCAGTAGACGTTCTGATGTGTCCCGGGTCCTCGCGTCCTCTCCGCCTGAGGAACTTCTCTTCTTGCCCTCCTGCTGTCGGTCTGACTTCCTGTTTGCTGGCTTCTGTTGATCTTCAGTAATCGATGTGCTTCCTGCCTTCAGGCGAGGCAGCAGGTGACGCGTGCAGGAGGATCAACAGGCGATGGTGTCACATGACCTCCAGCTTCCTCCTCGCTGGGTACGTCATCATTTGTTTTTACTGTGTGGTATTGCTATGAATTGTGGGTAATGTTCATAAACTATTCAAAATGTGAGAATCCTCAGAAGCTTCATAATGTAACATCTGTCTGGGGGGGCGGGGGCGGTTAGCTTTTAGAGGGCAAAGGTCACTTCACAATAATTGCAAAGGTCCCTTTTAACAAAGTTATTAATGTTGTTTGATTCATTGTTAAATAAGTTTGGTTTCTCCTGCAGGTTCGCTGTGATGCTGCTGCTCTTCAGTACGTCTTCATCTAACAAGGAAACCTGATTATTGATAAGTACCTCAGAGTTGTTCTCTGAATATTACCCAGCTGCCCCGGCTCTCAATGATCGTGCCCCCCCCCCCCCCTCCAGGTCTTGTGTTGGTTCGTGTCCGGCTTCTGCAGTCCGCTACAATGTTACCGAGTAGGAGGACGCTGTGTCGCCTTCCCACAGCCTCCCAGCAGGGGGCGCCGGGGAGGCTGTCAGAGGGAGGTGCTGACGGCACGACAGCAGAGAGCAGTGTGCTCCGCCCCCCCGGACCCCCCCCCCCCCCCCCCGTACCACACGGAGCAGCTAATGTGGACGTCCAGCAGGTTTGATAGAAGTGTTTTCTTTTCAGCTGTCTGAGTGGGAGGCGTCTTTAGGCCCGCAGGTGGACGGCCCGCAGGTGGACGGCCCGCTGGGGGACGGCCCGCTGGGGGACGGCGCGGCCCGGCTGCTCAGGCTGGAGGAGGGTCTGGTGGCGCTGGCGGAGCAGGTGGAGGCCAGAGGGCGGCAGGCGGAGCGGCGTCACGAGGAGGTGCTGCAGCTGTACGCTGACCTCCGCCAGCTGGTCTCCGATCAGAGCCGCAGAGAGGAGGCGGAGCCGTGGATGAGGAACCTGATGGAGCAGAAGCTGGAGCAGCTCAGCAGAGGACTGGAGGACAGGAAGCAGGCGGAGGTACAGGACTTGAGACACAACAGAATACAAACACTACGGTCCTTCATTTTCTAATTGAATCCATATTCCTCTGTGCATACTTTCACTTAACTTATTGTATTTACTGTACTGCTGCTATTACACCAAACTCCCCTTGGGGATTAATATTTAAATAATAAGTGTCTGTCATGATAATGACGACCTTTGTCGGCCTCCAGTCTCTGCAGCAGGATTCACTTGAGAGTCTGAGGACTCGTCTGGAGCTACAGGTGGACCTGCTGCCTGCAGCCCACTTTTGCTGTGTGATTTTTCGCGCTTTTCTTAGTTCATGTTTTTTTGTCCAGGAGGAGCAGTGGAGACGAGACTCCTCGTCATCGTCTTCATCACTTCTAGCTGCAGATGGGTACCCTTCACTCCTCCTCTTTACTCTACAGTTCTATTTGATGTGATGACAGAAGCTTGACGGGGGGGAAGGTGTCCTGTGTCTTCCTGTAGCACCGGCGTGGACGGCATGTCCCACGATGCATTGCTGCCAGAGGTTGCTCGGCTGGAGGCGTCTCTGGAGGACGTCCGGCGGGAAGTGGAAGATCTGTGTGGTTGTGACGACTGCAGACGGCTCGACGGGATCCAGCACGCGGTGTGTGGGGGGGGGGGGGGTCCACTGCTGAGCGAACCTTTATCATTGTGTCCATTTTAAAGAATAAAAATCATTTTTCTCGGTTCAGGTCCGCGAGGAGGTCCGGCTTCTGTTCTACGGAAACCAGCTGTCGGTGGTGGACCCCGCCTCCTTGGAAGGGGGCGGCCCCCCTGAGGGAGGCGGCGGCTTCCAGGAGCCGCTCCTCCAGCGGTACGTGAGCACGGCCGAGCTGCAGGCGGCGCTGCTCGCCCTGGAGCTCCGCCTCCTGCAGAACGTTAGCCAGCAGCTGGAGGGGCAACACGGAGAGGAAGACGCCGCTGGGACGGCTCTGACCCAGAAGGTGATGGGGGGGGGTCGTCTGTCTGGATGTCCTCAAAACGTGTATTAAAAAAATAAACATTATTGCTGTATAATAATGTTTAGCGCTCATATTTCATCTCGTTCATCTATTTAATATTCATGTGTCTTCTCCTGCAGGACGTCGAGGACATAGTGACCGGTGCCCTGCGCCTCTTCTCTCTGGACAGAACCGGCCTGGCTGACTTTGCTCTGGAGTCTGGAGGTCAGCACCCCCCCCCTGCTGTGCGTTGGATGTGTGTGACACCCCCCTCGTCCCTGACGCGTGTGCCGTCCTGCAGGTGGCAGCATCCTGACCTCTCGCTGCTCTGAGACCTTCCAGACGAAGGCGGCGCTGCTCAGCCTGTTCGGGTTTCCTCTGTGGTATTTCTCCCAGTCTCCTCGCGCCGTGATCCAGGTAGGAACACGTGTTCATTCCTGGAACACGCTCTCCTCTGAAGACGAGATCTTTAAGCCTCGTCACCTGCCTGCAGCCAGATGTCCATCCAGGGAACTGCTGGGCCTTCAGAGGCTCCACAGGGTTCCTGGTGATCAGGCTCTCCATGAAGATTCTCCCCACAGCATTCTCCATGGAGCACATCCACAGAGCCATGACCCCCAGCGGGACCCTGGAGAGCGCCCCCAGGGACTTCACAGTCTACGTGAGGGGGGAGGAAGGGGAGGAGGGGGCGGGTGAGGGTCCTTCGCTGACCTCAACGGTGTGTTTTTTGTCTCCAGGGTCTGGAGAAAGAAGATGATGAAGAGAAGAAGCTTCTTGGCTCCTTCACCTTCGACTCGGAGGGAGAACCTCTACAGACGTACCGCGTCACCGTGAGTTAAATCTCTTTATGATGATCCATGTGATCAAGGAACCTCGATCGATGGTTCTCCTCCTGGTCTCTCCTCAGGAGCAGAACCACGAGGCCTTCCAGCTCATCGAGGTCCAGGTCTTGTCTAACTGGGGCCACCAGGAGTACACCTGCTTGTACCGCTTCAGAGTGCACGGCACACCCCGACCTGCCTGAGCCCCCCGTCCCTCCTTCAGGACGCGTGAAGTTGCTCAATAGTTCATATTATTTTATTGTCTTAAAGCTGTTTTTGGCCTCTTCTCACTCAGTGTTTGTTCCTCTGGTGAAGTCGAGAGGAACTCTTTTCAAAACGTCTCCTCGGTGAGAAGAGGTGACTCTTTCTTCCCTTTAAGGAATTGGGGGAAAATAATCTTTTAAAGATAACCTTATTCTTTTGTGTCAAACATTCAGTTGAATCAGTTTTTCTATGCAGCTGATTAGATTTATTTATTTGTGTCTCTATTACGGTGTGTTGGAGCTTTTACATATTAGTGTTTATGTGATGACATAATAAAGATGTAAGATGATGAACTTCATGTGTGTTGAGCTCTGAACATCTGAGACGTTCACACACAACAACCTTCACGTGTGCGACTGCTGTTCTTCACAATAAGTAAATAAAGACGACGGTTCCACAAAGCTCGACTGGCCTGAGGAGCCTCCACGTGATGGGAACCATCGATGGAGCTCCTCGTGACCTCCGTCTCTGTTCGGGATTATTATATATATATATATATATATATATATATATATATAAAAAAAATCACAACAAAAACCCTCTGCGTAGATTCCATAACCCTGATCAACATGCTACGCTAGCAGAAGAGCTAACATGCTGCCTCCGGAGCAACACACGAAATACAGCAACATGATCCCGGTTACAGAATGAATAATGTAAACGTAACTAGTTGTGTCTTTGAATACGTAACGAATCCTCCTGCTGACGCTGTTCTCGTAGCTTTTACCGTCATACTAAACGTCTCTAAGGATCACGAATCCCTTTCGTCAGAAGGTCAAACCCAAAGTTCACTTGTTCCAACGTTCAGTAAATGAGTCCTGGACGTAATAATATAAACTCAAATACACCTGAAGATCTCTCATGTCTGTGTGAAACCGCGTGGAGGCTCGGTGGTCTGACCAGGTCCACTTGTGGCTCTGCAAACACCTCGTGGTTGTCTGGTCGAGGCCTCCACCCCCCCAACCCGAGCGCTCGGTGCCTCAGCAGGTGGGCTTCAGGATGCAGAGCCGTCAGTAAAAGAACAAAGTGCGTTTGAGTGGGACACAAATGAAGCGAAGCTGAGGGATCAAACCGCTGCGAATGTGTTGAGCTGCTTTCACTCGTTAATCTCTTTACATAAGAGCTGCTGCTCTAATTCACTTCTGATGAGAGAGAGACTCCCTGATGATTCCCTCTTCTGGATGTGACCACGATGAACGGCGAGCAGCTCCAGAGCCGTTGCGATGGGGAAGGTCAGTGTGTGTTCATGTTAAAGATTATCATCCCGATGACATACTATCTATTGCAGGTGTTTCCTTCATTTAAAATGGTGTTTAACAGGAATGTGTCATGTGTCAAAAAACAGATAATCCTTCAAATATCCACAAGAAAGTAACTGTTTATTGTGTTTATATTTATATGATACGACCGTTTCTACCGATTCACAGGCCGGATGTTCTCCGGATGAATTCAATACATCAAAAGTACCATTTATTTAACAGTATTCTTAAATCCTAATATTAGTCATGTTCATGTAACAGAATTTCTAAATGATAGTATCAGTACTTTTAGAGAAATCAGCTGCTGTGAGTTTGACCCTCATGACTCGAACAACAGTCACTTCATTTAAAAGAAGCTCCGCCTCCAAAGCTCCGCCTCTCTTGCAGCCTCAGCGTCCGCAGCCAGCGGCACCGGGGACGTGGACCCCCTGCCGGTTCCTCGGCTCCTCCGGATCAGCAACGTCACCTGTGATTCGTTCAACATCGGCTGGGACATGGAGGGGGGGGGCCGAGAGGGGATCACCCACTACTTCATTGACCTCAACAAGAAGGAGAACAAGAGCTGCAACAAGTTCAAACACAAGGTCGGTCCCACAAGGTCCCCGGGACGTTACAGGAGGTTGGAGGAAGTCCTGGAACTGAAACCCCCCCTCTTGGTCTCTCAGGACGTGCCGACGAAGCTGGTGGCGAAGGCGGTCCCCCTGCCGATGACTGTGAGAGGCCATTGGTTCCTGAGTCCTCGCACGGAATACACCGTCTCCGCCCAGACGGCCGCCAAGCGGCTGGACGGGGACTACGCCGTCTCTCGGTGGAGCGAGATTGTGGAGTTCTGCACCGCAGGTCGAACCCCAAAGAACAACACTTGTCACCTCTATAATAATGCCGCTGACCATCGCTGTGACAACCTCCAACCCTTTAGATTACTCCACCCTGCAGCTCAACCAGCTGCTGCAGAAGGCGGAGGCCATCGCCGGCCGCATGCTGCCGTTTACCGTCTTCTACAGAAACCATCAGAAGGACTACTTCTACCAGGCCAGGTGTGTGTGTGTGTGTGTGTGTGTGTGTGTGTGTGTGTGTGTGTGTGTGTCTGTCCTCTAACCCCCTGTGATTGGTCCGCAGCACGTCCTACCGCTCCAGGGACGCTCAGTGCCGCCGCATGCTGCCGGCGGTCAAAGACCACAGCGGCAGCCACGGCTCGCCCATCAGCGGGACCCTGGAGGGGGTCTTCTTCAGCTGCAACACGGAGTTCAACACGGGGAAGCCTCCCCAGGACTCGCCGTACGGACCCTACCGCTTCCAGGTGGGACCCGCCCTCAAGGGCCTTGTGTGGCCCTTCAGGGACATTTTAGAGGTCATCCATCATTGTTCTTCCAGTGAAGAGGACGTAGCTCTAATGGTTTTGGGGTGTAGGTGAAGTAAGTCTACTGGTTTCTGACGTAGCCGTGAAACTCCGGTCAGCCAGTTTTCTGTGTTTAAGAAGGAGCTAAAACGTTTTGTTTGTTGATTCATCTGAATTTTTTTTCGATGTCCACGGTTCTTGTCCTTCTGTAAGATGTCCTCCTGTACGATGTCCTCCTGTAAGTGTCCTGAATAGGTCTAACCCTCTGAGGATCTGCCCCCCCTGCTCACACAGAAGAAGAGGAAGTAGCTCCAACACCACCTTTGTTGTCTCTCAGATCGGAGCAGACCTCCTTTTCGACCAGAACACCAACGTCTACTTTGGTGATTTCTACTGCATGTACACGTCCTACCACTACGTGGTCCTGGTCCTGGCCCCCGAGGGCTCCTCTGGAAACGCCTTCTGCAAGGGCCGACTTCCGGCGCTTCACCCATCCGACAACCACTTCCTGAGGCGCGTGGAGGGGGCTGACGGCTCGCTGTCCTTCCTCCATGCCCAGGACGTCCTACTGGAGGTGGTCTACACGGATCCGGTGAACCTGTCCTCGGGGGCAGTGGAGCCGATCGGTGGGCAGCAGCTCACCAGTCAGTCCACCGTCAACGCCAAGAAGGACCCCAGCTGCAAGGTGTGCAACATCAGCGTGGGCCGCTAACTGCTAACCGCTAACCCCCCCCCCCGCTATGTGTATGCACAGTGTGTGTGTATATTTATAATAAATAAATAATAGATGAAGACAATGATGTTGGGTATTTAATAATCAGATTATTTACAGGATGTAATCTGATGCTTGTCAGCTGCTCACCAGATAACTGATGACGAGATAAAAGGAGCAGAAACAGGAAACTGAACATTTAATGACGGACACCTGCTCTTAGTTAGTGATGCCTTCACGACCTCAGGGTTAGGGTTAGATGGATAAATACTTTATTAGAGCCGCCTCTTCACATTGATGTCTCTTTATTTCAGTCAGATTATGGATCACAAAACATCACAATTCATCAGAGTAGTTTGCTTTCATGTTACTTCTCCAGAATACCCACAAATCTGTGTTCATCACAGATAAGTGTTGATTCACTTTCCTATTAGAGAATGCACAAGAACTCTGTACAAAATAGCCTCTGGATATCTATTGGTATAAAAATAAGTTCTAAGTGCTCCGCACACTTTTAATACTGTCTCTGCTTTGGTGTGTTGGCGACTTGGATGTCGGCGCGCGTCCTGAAACAATTATCGCGTCGGACCGAGGGATCTGTTGTCATTGGTTACCATGGTGACGGTGTAACGTCATCTCGACCGTAATGCAAGTCATCTTTTGCTGGAAGGATCAGCACTATTCACCAAACTGCAGAACGATTGGATGGAAAAACAAACGTGTATTTTGATTTGAGAAGATTTCTCTTATTTCTAACTGACGAGTTAGAATCCATTCAGAAAATATCTTTCCAGACACTAACACCTGACTCCTGGTCCGGTGTCGGTTTGATGAAGTTATTGTAGACATATGGCTAATGTTTAATTCAAAACCAATTAGGATTCATTTGTATTATTCGTAAGTCCTGTAAGCTTTCGTCTTTCAGTAAACGTTGAGCTTCTCCCACAGAAAACTGAAACTTAAAGATGAGGGAGAAGAAGCTCATGACACCACAACCTAAAAACTACATATTCACAGTTTGTAGAACTACAAAGTCCAGAAGGCCTCAGTGACTAAAACAAGGTTTCAATTTTCTAATCCGACAGATTTCCATTGTATCTCTAAATAACTTACAGACAGGAAAAAACTGATGGTCCAAAAGGTAGTTTCCAGTGGAAAGACATTGAAAATAACTACAACTCCCAGGTATCTTAGAGAAACTAACACTACAACAAAGCATAGAAGAACTAAATCCATTTCACTTATTTCTTTCTCCAAAAACATGCAAAAAAAAGACACATTCAAAAATAACATGTGGACCAACTGACAGTCAATTACAGGCCGTCCTGCACCTCAATCCCACAATAATTATCTACGTAGGAAGTATTCAGAGACGGATATAATATAAAGAAAGAAAATAGATTAATGGGTGAGAAATTTGTCTGTGGGAGACTGGCGAATCTGAAACGGTGTCCACGGTGGATTCGTCTCCCTGTAAAACCTTCAGCATAATCAAACATTCCCACTAATCTGCTTTACTTTCTGAAGCCCTATGAAGCTGAAAAAAAAACAGATTTTCAAAATAGGGGTTTGAAGAACAAAGCAGTTTAGCGTGAACGCTCCGGAGTTATGAGATGTTTCTTATTTCTTTTTAGAAAACGCCGTATCCGTCGGTGTGACGCGCGGCCACGGCGAAGGCCGGGTATCCCTCGTAGGTGGTGTACGCCGTCAGGTCCTGACCCAGAGACACCGCCTGCTTGAGCTGGGACACCACTGCTGACGCTCCCGGGCTCGCCAGAGCATAACCTGGAGAGAAAGACGCTGCTATGAATGAAAATGCTGCTATAAACCGGTGCACTGCTATAAACCGGTGCACTGCTATAAACCGGTGCGCCGCTATAAACCGGTGCGCTGCTGTAAACTGGTGCGCTACTTTAAACCGGTGCGCTGCTATAAACCGGTGCACTGCTTTAAACCGGTGCGCTGCTATAAACCTGTGCGCTGCTTTAAACCAGTGCGCTGCTATTAACTGGTGCCCTGTTATAAACCGGTGCGCTGCTATAAACCGGTGCGCTGTTATAAACCGGTGCGCTGCTATAAACCGGTGCACTGCTTTAAACCGGTGCACTGTTATAAACCGGTGCGCTGCTATAAACCGGTGCACTGTTATAAACCGGTGCGCTGTTATAAACCGGTGCACTGCTTTAAACCGGTGCGCTGCTATAAACCGGTGCGCTGTTATAAACCGGTGCGCTGCTATAAACCGGTGCGCTGCTGTAAACCGGTGCGCTGTTATAAACCGGTGCGCTGCTATAAACCGCCATGAATTGATGCGGTGATATGAACAAACTGTTTCAGCCCCAAAGACTTTATAGAGGAAACCGGTTGTTATGACTTTTGATTACAACATCAGCAAAACCACTTTGAACCTTTTCTATCAATATTTACAGATCAGTAATCAAACTTGTTCAACATAAACAATTTCATATGTAAATATGACATCTGGAAACTGAATGAGAGGGTTTTGTCTATTATTGTTTTTATTATTTGTATGAGGTATAAAACATCCTCAGTGTAACAGCTGTATAACAGCAGGAGATTCAGAAATAATTCAGTCTGTGAGTAGTGTTTTTCATTTTGTTGTATAATACCACAGTAAATACCTCTCTTATTGGCCACTAGAGGGCAGAAAGACTCCACGTTTAACTCTAATGACTCAAACATCTTGTTATCACCTTTTATACCATAAAAAAACTCAATCTTGATGAAAGAAGAAAAAACAAAAAATGGTATTCATTCAGCAGGAGATGTATTAGTGGTTGTATTCGTAGTAGTAGCATATTACCAGTAGATACTGGTGCACTAGTATGAGAGAAGCTGTGGTAGTAGTACTGGTGGTGGTCGTAGTAGTTACAGCAAAACGAGACAGGAGTATGCTACTGTGTACTGAAGCACTTCTATTACTAATAGTAGTATAACATATATAATTTAAACTCAGTCTCCTTACCTATGGAGCCCTTATTGGTTAGGCTGTGTCATATGTTAAGGAGCTTATAGTACCGTAACTCGCTACTAGACAGCTGGGTCCATAAATGCTAGGTTCCTTGTTGTTCCTAGAGCCACAGCCTTCAGATATCAAGCTCCTCTTCTGTGGAACCAGCTTCCATCTCCTATCATTTAGGCTTAAGACTTTCCTCTTTGATAACGCTTATTGGTAGGGCTGGTTTAATATCATAGCTAGGGCTGGTTCAGCCTCATAGTTGGGGCTAGCTCAGGTCTGCCTCAGAAAATGAACTGTTGATAACGTCATCCTCACACCCTGATACGAACTTTATCTATTTATGACCAATAATTGTAAAATCATAACGTTCCTGGAAGTTTACCCATGTCACCCTGGTAGCTGCAGAGCATTTGCTCACTGTGCTGCTAACCCTGGTCCTGCATGGTGTCTGTTAGCATTACTGGTTTGGTTATGTGGAGAGTTAGTTGGCTCTGGGTACGGACCTTCACATACCTGGGAAGGTTACCGAGGCCACGGTGGCGGCCGTAGCACAGCTAGCGTCGGCGGCGACCTCCGTCTGCAGGCCGAGCGTCTGCAGAGTGTGCTCGGCCGCATGCACCTTAGCTTCCTCTACGGCCGCACACAGCTTAGCAGGCGTGAAGGGGTGTCTGCAGAGAGGAACCAACAACGTTTTTACTGTGAGCGGAAGCTTGTTAACCTTGCTAACCCTGCTGTACACACATTACACTACATTAACAAAGAGAAACGTTTTCAACACCCTTAAAGGAACAGTGCGTCAGATCTGGGGCCTTAATTCTCCTCCAAGAATAGAGCATCATGAGACACAAAATGAAAAATGGAATACTCCTAGTAGTAGTAGTAGTAGTAGTAGAAGCGATTAGTGCGATTCGTACACGTTGGGGTACTGGGTAGCCAGAGCTGGTATGGTGATCTTGTAGAGGAAGAGTTGTCTCTGGTCTGGACCGATGGCAGAGTGGAGCTGATAGACGGGCTGACCCCAGTTATTCTTCTGACACAACTCCTCCAGAACCTGGAGGCGAACAGACAGACGGGTAGAGAGACAGACAGTATCTGGTTAGCTGTGAATAATTATGGTAGAACAACAGTCTTACAGTAAACATAAAGTAGAGACTTCTACAAAAACCGTCTGAGAAGGGCAGACGGCCTTCACTGAAACCTTTCAGAGTTTGGATCAGTGCAGTCAGGTAAACGTCACATCTGCAGCGAGACAAGTACTTCTTGCTGATTGTGAGAACGTTATAAGACCTGTTGCCGTAGTAACCTCCCAACATTTGGTGAGTACAATATGATGGTGGGAGAACTACATAATAAGCCGGTCCTTCAGATGAGTCCTGGTCCCCAGGTGTGTTCTGTTACCTGTGTTGCAGGTTTGGCGGCGGCCTTCAGGTTCATGGCGCCAGGGTTCATGGGGGTGAGCTCCATGCCCGGCAGCAGGTCGTAAAGCTTCTCCTCCACCTGCTTGTCAGCCTTCAGGCTGTAGGAGGCGCCGCCGCCGGCTCCGATGCCGGCGGCATAGGCCAGGTATCCCCGCCCGCCCAGCCCCCGCACCCCCGCAGCCCCTACAGGTACAGTCATGTAAATTTCTACAGGAGATCGAAAAGGCAGTGAAATCAATCAAATCACCGGAAATCAACCGGGAAGAAGAAGAATCAGACAATTATGAGTCATGGTAACAGTACATCCGCCGTGCTTCCTCACTGAGGAGGACTCCTCCGATGATTCAATGTCACATTCACATGAGCTGCGTCGGTCTGATTTCACGTTGATCAATAAAGTTCTTTTCATTCAGCGGATTTGGTTTAAAACAATATCCAGGAAAAGTTATGAGATGACATTCTTTATTTTAGATTCTTGATTCAATAGAGTTCAGTTGGACTCGATTAGATTGACGTTATTTGCTAATGAAGAGCAGCCGAGATGCATCATATAAATTCATAATCCCAAACCCCAAAACCAAACCTGGAAGATACATCAGAGTGAAGGCTGATGTTTTCATTTACTTCACTTTAGTCTCCCAAAATGTAGTTACGTAGTAATTACGTGACAACTAAAAAGCATGCAGAAAATATAAGAGAGGTCATGATCTGGACCCCTTTAACGAGCATGAGGACTAACTTTTTAAATTTCTCTCATTTAGTATCTCCTGATTCAGATCCGTCCTCACCTCTGACGGACGGCGTCCTTATCAGACCTCGACCTCCAACATGAGCTTTGGCCGCCGGGAAGCGGAACTGACCTGGTACGGCGGCGTAGGCTTGGGGGGCGTAGAACACGGGCGGACCGAGGTACGCCGCTGAGGGGTCGTAGACCTGGACGGAGAGGAGGAGAAACATCTCAACATTCCAGTTCCCCAGAGTCTTAGCTTTGACCCCTCTTGCGTCAAGCTAATGTGTCCAATACTAAAGACCCGAGGATCTAAAAAGAGTTCATGCATTAAAACAGAAATAAAGGATAAAAAATCTCCTTGTAGCTGATAGTTGAAACTCAGCATTAATGATGCAGGAGCAAGTCGGTATAGATAGCTACAATACAAGCAAAGCTACTGCCACCACCCAGGTTCCATTCTGCCCTCAGACCTCGGTGCTCTTTTTAACCTACTGAGATCAGGGTCCTATTGTCCCAGAGTGTAGGCGGTGTGGTGCGTTCAGGGTCCTATTGTCCCAGAGTGTAGGCGGTGTGGTGCGTTCAGGGTCCTATTGTCCCAGAGTGTAGGCGGTGTGGTGCGTTCAGGGTCCTATTGTCCCAGAGTGTAGGCGGTGTGGTGCGTTCAGGGTCCTATTGTCCCAGAGTGTAGGCGGCGTGGTGCGTTCAGGGTCCTATTGTCCCAGAGTGTAGGCGGTGTGGTGCGTTCAGGGTCTTATTGTCCCAGAGTGTAGGCGGTGTGGTGCGTTCAGGGTCCTATTGTCCCAGAGCTAGGGCGGTGTGGTGCGTTCAGGGTCCTATTGTCCCAGAGTGTAGGCGGTGCGGTGCATTCAGGGTCCCACCTGTCCCAGAGTGTAGGCGGCGTAGTCGGGCTGCAGCAAAGACGCCCCGCGTCCACCCGTCCCTCGGGTGTAGCGGACGTAGCTGTCCTTGTCCACCGGCTTGGCCAACGTCACCTCGATGGGTGAGCCGTCCACCAGCTGGAGGGGGGGTGAAGTGCTGCATTCAGATCCTTACACCACAATGTGAAATGCTGCTCACGGCGTGTGACCTCTGACCTTTCCGTTGAGGGCGCCCATGGCGTTGACGGCGTCCTCTCTCTGAGCGAAGTGGACAAAGGCGTAGTCTCTGATCTTCTTCACTCGCTCCACCGAACCTGCAGCACCACAAACCTCCTTGAGCTTAAAATGAAGACTTTCTTCAGCCACCCGGCAGAAGGATTATTATTCGCCTCCATGGCCTCAGAGGTTTGACTCTAAATATGTAGATTACATTCATTGTCCCGAAACACAAATCATCTTAAAACCATTGTTGGCAGCGGTTAGAAATCACTGCGAGGTCACGGGTTCAATTCCGGGTATGGACCGTGTTCCTCGGTACCTGGTCTGATGCCATTGAACTCCTTCTCGATGGTCTCCTCGGTAGTCTGCAGCATCAGGTTCCTGACGTATAGGATCTTGACCGTTGCCATGGTGTCCTCGTCCACCTCCACCTCAGGCTCCGCCCAATCCACAGCGATGGCGTGACCCCACAGCTGAATGCGACCTGAGGGGCGAGACAGTCTGCTTCTCTGAGATGGTGCCTAGTGAAGCAGTGTAGCTCCTATTCAGCACAACGTTGGTGTCTTCAGCCGCGCCTGTAAAATGGCCTTGGCTGACGTTTCATTGAAGGTTTGCCGTTTACCTGGCAGCAGTTTGCGGCGGGCCATGGCGGCGGCCCGGTGGCTCTCGTACTCAACGAAGGCGAAGCCTCGGTTCTTGGATTTGTCGGCGGCGCTCGGGTACACAATGACGTCCACCACCCCGTCTGTGACCTTCCTCATCTCGGACAGGATCTCCTCGCGCTTCTTGGTTTTGGGAATCCCGCCCACGAAGAGGCGGCAGTTGTCAACGCTGGCGCAAACTCCGAGGAGGCGTCCGTTTCTATGTGAGGGGGAGGAGCACAGGAGATCACATGGTTACATTCTATGTATCAGAGGGTTGTATTCTATGTATCAGAGGGTTACATTCTATGTATCAGAGGGTTACATTCTATGTATCAGAGGGGTTACATTCTATGTATCAGAGGGTTGTATTCTCTGTATCAGAGGGTTACATTCTATGTATCAGAGGGTTGTATTCTACGTATGAAAACACACCCTGACCTTATCTCGTAGTTGTTGAGCTGCTTCATAGCAGCTTTGGCCTCCTGTTTGGTGCCGAAGGTGACGAATGCATAACCTCTGTTGTTCCCGCTGAAGTCCATCATCATCCTCACCTCGTAGATCGTTCCGTACTGGAGACAAGAAGATCATCTGTGAGGACCTCGTGGATCTAAACAATGTGTTGTAACAGGAACCATTGTCACCTTCTCGCACAGCGGAACCAGCTCGTCTTCGAACAGATCTCTCGGTAGTTTCCCCACAAAGATCTCGCTGCCTCTCTCTGGCGGCGGGCCGTCCCAGCCGGGCGGCGGGCCGCCATACCGGCGCTGACCGTTCTCCTGGAAGTAAGATTTAAACAACATTACACACAGATAACATTACATTACAATATACTGCATTGATTGTCCCGTTATTCCCTCGTGGCCATTTTATAATAAGTTCAGTGGTTTTGTTCGGTTCCGTTGTCTAGTTGAGTTGTCTCTATACTTTGTCTCGTTAGCACAAATAAAAGAACTGAGGGATAAAGTCTATCTTGTGGACACATATTTGACGACCGAGCTTCATGTTTCTTCGTTATATGAACCAACATCTGCACTTCAGAATGTTCTTTATGTTACACGTGGCGTGTTTGAAGCTCAATATTGTTTATTAAAATGCACCTTGATGCATGAAGAACAAAATGCAAAACCCTGTCACCATATTTGAGAAACCTCCAGATACGTCCTGGCTATTGTAACGTGCGTCTCACACCAGCTACCTGCTGCAGTTGGTATCCGGTGCGCTGCATCAGAGCCCGCAACGCGGCCTCCTTCTGCATCCCCGCCAGTCCGTCCCCGCCTGCTTTCTGATTGGGTTCCATTGGGTGTGATTGACAGCAATACGTAAATCAGGGAAATTAGGGGCGCTCACTGGAAGACAACAAAATAACACGTTATGTTCTCTGTCCTTCAGAAATCTGTCTCACGCGCGTCATGTGTTGTCTCGCTGGTCCTTCTGCGCTGTCTGCTCAGACCGACAGCGTCCATTGTGTGAATTGTGTGTTTCTGTGAAGCGGCACAGAGTCGGTCTCTGTCCCTGTAGCTCCTCTGTGCAGCTTCCAGTCTGCACCAGATCTCACTGAGCTACGAGGAACACGTTATTCCTGACGGCCCTCAGTTCTCCTCTAGAAACACGCTGACCCTGTTTCCCTGTTTGAAGCGGCAGCAGAGAGGTCGAGGTCTGTCCCGTAATCATTGACAGGGACTCAGACTGTGACCGAGACCTGAAACCACCTGCTGTGCGAGTCCTTCTGTGGGCGTCAGCACTAGGGTGGACATTTCCTTCACGTCCAAAAGGAGGACACGGTGCACACACGGGGACACGCAAGCAGACATTTGTTTGGTGTGATCCGGTTTTAAATGTTACTATGTTTTTCCACCAGATTACATAAAGGTACACACACATTCCACATAGCTAGTACAAATATACAGGATCCAGCTCATGACACCGTGCCCCCCCCACTTCACATTACACAGCCCGCCGAGGGTCCCTCATTTGGGGGGTTGGGAGAGTTGGTTGTTGATAATGAAATGACTTATTTTGACACATTTTTAGCCAATAAGTATTAAACTAACGAGGTAATGTGTCAAACGGAGGACGAGCGAGTGTCCGGCTTAAGGCCCGACGGGGCATTTAAAAGCCGGACGAATGGCCGCCAGTCAGCCACAACCGATTCATGCTGTCAGCGTGTTGGTGGTGATAACCACGCACACGCACACGCACACGCACGCACACGCACACACACGCACACGCACACGCACGCACGCACACGCACACACACACACACACGCACACGCACACACACGCACGCACACGCACACGCACACATGCACGCACACACTAAAAGCCCTTTGAACCTCAAAGAAAGGTTGATAGGGTAATAATATACAGCGTGCTGCATCTTTACTGCATTCATTAGCAGTTTCCTTTGAAACTCAACGAGATTTTCTTCTCGTTTCTGCTCGTTAGAATTTGAGAGCGAGCTGCAATGAGACAAGTCCTTCACTTCAGTGTGGAGGCGAGAGACAAAGACAACACAGAGACAAAGAGGTCAAAGGTGACGAGGTGATGATGAAGAAGATGAAGACAGCCATCAACATACACGTCTCTTTGCTTGCACATTGGAATCTACTGTATTCTGATTTCTTTTTCTCCCGTTTCTCTAAAATTCAACACGTTACTGAAGCAAAATGTAAAAGTAATTTAAGTATCTAAATGTATTCTTCACTGTCTTATATTTATAGATGAATATAATCTGTTTTCTATCATTTGCTATGAATGAATTTAATGTTACAGTGTGTCTTTGTGGAGACGTGGGTGATATAAGGAAGAGATGAATCACAGAAAAAGACTTAAATACATGAAAATCAAAGCATTCAAATGTTGTTATTGTATTATTCAGAGCATGAATTACTTGAATTAATTACTTTTTAACACTATTCTGACTCCTTTGTTTCAAACTTCAGAAAGCTCCAGAACTTTACATTTCATTTCATATTTGTATTAATACAAAATTAAATAACAAATCAGAAAGATTTACAATCTGTGAAAGTAAACGAGTGTTAAACATAAACTTGGTGTTTTATGTTTGTTGGCACATATAAATGAATGTTGGTCTACTGAAGACATAATGTATCAGCTGTGACTTAAGCCCCGCCCCCACACCGCCATGATCGTCATCTCCTACAACTCCCAGCATGCCCCTTCTCTCTGTTTAGGATTTATCTTCTTTATTCTTTTTTTAATTGTTTATTATCTTAAATGTTAAATAAAGCGTATTATGATTGTATATATACATATATATTCATATATATATATATATATATATTTTTGTATTGACATTTCATCAATTGAATTAATATCTGATGTATTTATTATTTCATTTTAGCAAAAGACGCTTAATGGTGACATTTGTATTTTTTGTAATATATATAAATGGTTACAATGTGTTTTAAACTAGATATTACTCGACTGTAAAGTTTTTCTCACTGAAATGTAACTTTTAATCCGCTGGTTTGTTATATTTTACTCTTTGTCTTATTTTAGTTTCTTTTTTCTTATAAACAAAGTATTAAAAGAAGGAACTCAACATAGCTGTTCAGTATTCAGTGTTTATTATAACCGAATATAGAAAAACAAACAGTGGATAAGTACTTTGAAATAAGATTTTAAAAGAATAAAATCAATCTCTAAAAATGAATAAACAGCTTCAACGTTTTATAAGTTTTATTTGAAACCTTAATACTCGTAAAATACAAGTTAGTGTGTTTTGTTTGACTCCCAATAGGTTTGTGAACTACTGCCTTTGATGTAGGAAGTGGTTCCTAATAATGATTCTAACACTTATAAGATCATCTGAACACATGTGTATTGTAAACAGTATTTATAGCATTATTATATTCACACACTCGGCCTGTTTGTTCAGTTAGCCACGGTTAGCTCAGCTAGCGTTCATCAGACACCAGCGAAGAAGAAGAGTGGTCAAACGACACGTCTCTCTCTCTCTGATAGATTTAAAACAAAACACATAAAACATTCCTTCTTTTTAGCGAGAAACCAGAAAAACTCACCTGAGCAATTTCAGAGATCACCTCCCTCCGATCAGAGCTTTGTCATTCTGAGGGCCGTGTGTGTGTCTGTCTGTGTGTGTTCACGTGTCATTAGGGACCACACTGTGTGTGTGTGTGTGTGTGTGATCACATCATATCAAACTCCAAAGGTTCACTGTCTTGGTGTTAGCTTTACAAGCCGGCCAACGTTAATCTTTAACCCGCTGCTATCTGTGGACACACACACACAAAACACACACGGCAAATACATACCTAACAAACACACACATCCAGTAGGACTACACGCGTGTGGGTTGCAGGAGGCCTTTGACCGACAGTCACTATCTGGTTCAGAGGGCTCTGCAAAGGTCTGTTCACCAGCTAGCACACACACACACACACACACACACACACACACACACACACACACACACAGACACACACAGACACACACACACACACACACACACACACACACACACACAGACACAGACACACAGACACACACACACACACACACACACACACACACAGACACACACAGACACACACACACACAGACAGACACACACACACACACAGGGGGAACATGGCAGCTGTTACATTCAGACTTCTTCTGTCTTGTTGAATAAAAGTTAAACACAATAACACGATCAGCTTAAAGTCCTAAAATAGCTCGCTAGCTTGTTAGCAACCAGGCTGACTGTGATGATGTCATGATTATGACTGTTGTCATGTGATGATGTGATGTTGGCTTGTTCTCTTCATTATAATTGGGTTTGGAGAGAGAGAGAGAGAGAGAGAGAGAGAGAGAGAGGGGGAGAGAGGGAGAGAGAGAGGAGAGAGGGAGGAGAGGGGGAGAGGAGGAGGGAGAGAGAGGGAGAGAGAGAGAGGGAGAGAGAGAGAGAGGGGGAGAGAGAGAGAGAGGAGAGAGAGAGAGAGAGGAGAGAGAGAGAGGAGAGAGAGAGAGAGGGAGAGAGAGAGAGAGGGAGAGAGAGGGGAGAGAGAGAGAGAGAGAGAGAGAGGGGGGAGAGAGAGAGGGAGAGAGAGAGAGGAGAGAGAGAGAGAGAGAGAGAGAGGGGGAGAGGGAGAGAGAGAGAGAAAGATATAACACCTTCATCCTAAATCAGGTTCTCTCATGAGGACAAATCCAGAGGCAAGTATCTACTTTATTATCGGTTTTGTTTGTGTCCCCCGCGTCCTCCTCTTCCGTCCTCTCGGACCAGCGGGCTCCGGGCGGAGGATGAGCGGGCTGCAGGCGGACTGGTCCCGGCTGCTGCGGCAGAAGGAGGAGCGGATCGGGCGGATGGAGCAGAGGCTCCTGGAGAAGGAGGACGAGGCGCTGGAGCTGCGGAGGAAGCTGCACAAGTTCCAGTCGGTGCTGCGGCGCCGCGGCGTCTCCGGGGCGGACAGCTGGCCGGAGGCCCGGCGCACGCAGCGGGCAGCCGGGGTGTCCGCGGGGCCGGTGGAGCAGACGGAGATGCGGAGGTTCTCAAAGACGCACAGGTGAGCTGACACACCTGAGACCCGCCGCCGCGTCACTTCCGCTTCCTGCTGCTCCTCTTTTTCATGATGTGACTTTAACCTCTTTAAAGTGTACAAATCATTAAGAAACGAAACAAACGACTCAATTTAGCATTTGGAGTTTTAACCTGATTTCTCCCCCTTTACATAAATAAAGATTTATATAGATTCTATTTTTCTACCTGTAAATTTATAACAACGTGTCAAATGTCTAAGAATACATTATTACTCATAAATGTTGAGGCGGATTTCTAACATTTTGCATGTATTTCCTCTTCAAAGTGCATAATAAATGAATTTGAAATCTATCTTTATAAAGTATCTTTATTTGAGTTGAATAAGTAAAATACACGAAACCAACGGAAAATGTTCTGTAACACAAACTGCACATTAAACACAATGATTCTCTTCTTTATGTTTTATTCCGATTATTCAGAGGTGGACGATGACGTAGTCTGACGTAATGACGCTGACCCGCCGACAGGGGGCGTCACCGGACAACTCGTTGATTCTACTCCTCGTAGATGGATAGATAGATACTTTATTAATCCCCAAAGGGACATTTTGTGTATAGCAGCAGTACAGTAAATAAAGTGAGAAATGAAAAATCCACAATATGTACAGAGTACAGTAGAATAAAATAAAATAGCAGAGCAGAACAAGTGAAAGGAGTTGAACAGTGTATAGTGTTCAATTCAATTCAATTAGAAAATGAAGTGAAGACAGTAGGCTAGTGTTGTAGTTCAAATTAAGGTAATTAGCCATCATGAAGAAGATCAAGAGCTTAAAAGAAAATCTTTCTGCTGTACAACTGTTCAACCTTTGAGCTAATACGTGTTTATAAAACCAACATTTATGAAACCAAAAGGTTTATTTTGCAAAGTGTCGCGATAGAAGGGAACACGCGTGAGAGAGATGTGACAACATCACTACATATATCCATATACGTCATATATTAAAGAAACAGTCCTTCCAGGGGCTTAAAACCACGAAGGACTCCACTTGTTACCTTGTGTGCAGTTTGTGTGTAAAGCTTACAGGGGTCAGAGGTCAGAGGGAGACGCGTCTCTGATGTCTCTTTGGAGTCATTCTTTTGTCTCTTGATTGGTTTTAAGGTTGTTTTCTCTCTGATGTCTTTTCTGTCCCTTTGTAGAAGAAAACGTGATGTTATTGTTGAAGACTGAAGAGTGATTGATGTGAGAAGTTGAAGTTGATCAATGATGATCAGAGGGATTAAACTGATACTCTGATGCCTTCATGTCGATCAGCTGCTGCCAAAACAGCACAAACAAAACACGAATTTGAGAAATAAAAGACCTTCTGGTCCAACAGACAAACAAACAAAAGCTAGAGACAGATTGACGGAGGAGGAGGAGGAGGAGCACAAGGAGGACGAAGAAGAGGAGGCGGAGGAGGAGAAAAAGGAGTGGTTGATGCAATCTGATGAAGGAGGAGGTGATCTGATGAAGGAGGAGGTGAACTGATGAAGGAGGAGGGGATCTGATGAAGGAGGAGGGGATCTGATGAAGGAGGAGGTGATCTGATGAAGGAGGAGGGGATCTGATGAAGGAGGAGGTGATCTGATGAAGGAGGAGGTGAACTGATGAAGGAGGAGGGGATCTGATGAAGGAGGAGGGGATCTGATGAAGGAGGAGGTGATCTGATGAAGGAGGTGATCTGATGAAGGAGGAGGGGATCTGATGAAGGAGGAGGGGATCTGATGAAAGAGGAGGGGATCTGATGAAGGAGGAGGTGATCTGATGAAAGAGGAGGGGATCTGATGAAAGAGGAGGTGATCTGATGAAAGAGGAGGGGATCTGATGAAGGAGGAGGTGATCTGATGAAGGAGGTGATCTGATGAAGGAGGAGGGGATCTGATGAAGGAGGAGGGGATCTGATGAAAGAGGAGGGGATCTGATGAAGGAGGAGGTGATCTGATGAAAGAGGAGGGGATCTGATGAAGGAGGAGGTGATCTGATGAAAGAGGAGGGGATCTGATGAAAGAGGAGGTGATCTGATGAAGGAGGAGGTGATCTGATGAAAGAGGAGGTGATCTGATGAAAGAGGAGGTGATCTGATGAAGGAGGAGGTGATCTGATGAAAGAGGAGGGGATCTGATGAAGGAGGAGGTGATCTGATGAAGGAGGAGGGGATCTGATGAAGGAGGAGGAACCGGAGCGGCTCCCTCGTTTTGCGCGCGCCCTCCTCCGGTTCTCCTTCAGACTGAAACGGAAACTCACGCGCGCGCAGCGATTCACGCTCGTTCCTTTCGGATCCGAGTTTTGTTTTTTGCAGCGCGGGTCTCCGTGACGCGAGGAGATGGGACTGGGTCCCGGAGGTCCCGGAGGTCCCGGAGGTCCCGGATGTCCCGGAGGTCCTGCAATCTAACGCTTGTTTTTCACACTTTTCTCACTTCGCTGCTCTGCGTTTTCTTCACGCAGATCAAAGTTGTGAAGGTTGTCTACAGTTTCCAGACGAGCTGCTGGTTGTCCCCGAGTCTCCAGGAGGTTTTTAACGCTTGTTAAAAGCCTGATTTTTAGCTTCCGCCCTTTGGAGGATTCCCACCTGAATGTAGTCGCTCTTCTCTGTCTCTGAACCTGCGGATGTGTACTTTTATTCTGCGGGACTTTCCACTCACTTTGCTTCCAGAGCACCGGCTGCTTCACCTGTAGGAGAAGAAACCCTGGTGGTCCACAGCAGTTTCCCACTTGATCGCCTTCAAATCAGAACTTAGTTTTGAGGAAGGAGAGAAGGAACTGGGAGGACTGGTTACTGGTTCTGGTTCTACACACTTCTCCTCGAAGTTTGCTCAGTGTCTTTTCTTCAACATCTAGAATGACACATTTTCACATCTCTATGAGTCTCTAGAGGAACCCGGGGATTTTACGGACTCCAGTATGCAAAACCTTGAGGACCCAAGAGAAGGAAACAGCTGCTCAGTATCTGGAGGAACCAAGAGGAGAGTCCAAAGAGCCCATAAACCAGAAGAACCCTACCTCCATAAAGAGGTGCTCCGAGAAAACGGAAATCTAGGTAATTTCGTAAGTATCTTAAGAAACATAATGCCATTGAAGAGCTGTTGAGAAGCTGTAAACTTCCTGTAGAACCATAAAGATCCTTGAAAAAATCCATCTGACGATCAAAACCCAAAGGACTTCTGACAATCTCTAGGATTGATCCAGGAAGGAATTTATAAACAACTTCAGGGTACCTTAAGACTCTTGAGCAATCTCTGGTTTTTTTCTAGAGCTTAGAGGGACCCTTAGACCCCCCAGTAATCCTGGAGGGCAAAACAAACTTCACAGTACCATCAAAAATCCTAATAAAGTGAGGAAACCATGAGGCCAATTAGGGATATGAAGAACACTGAGGAACCTGAATTGTAGGAAATCTGCAAACGTTTAAAGACCTTTAGGATCCTTGAGGTTATGTACTTTAAGGAGTCCTTCGAGGACCCTCACACTCCGGAGGAACCCTGAGGACCCCCCCAATGGGCACCCTGCGAGACCTGCAGTACGCCCTGCAGGAGAAGATCGAGGAGCTGCGGCAGCGCGACACCCTGATCGACGAGCTTGAGCTGGAGCTTGACCAGAAAGACGAGCTGATCCAACGGCTGCAGACAGAGCTGGACAAGTACCGGTCCGTGCTGCGGCCCGCCACGGCCCAGCAGGTCCAGGCCCAGCAGCAGAACCTGGTCCCGCAACCGGACCAGCACCGCAGCAAGCGGCAGGCTATCTCCGCCGAGCCCACGGCCTGCAACATCAGCGACCTGAGCCACGTGACCCTGCCCTTCCATCCCAAGAGCCCCCAGTGAGTCCTGTTCAACATGTCATTGCTATTAAAGAAAATCTGATCGCTAACAAAGCTGAAGATTGTCTTACTGTAGGTCTACTTGTAGCTCGAAATTAAACTGAACTGTAGCGGTGATGTAATGATAATTTTACTTTTCGACTTTTCAAAAGTAAGTGTTAATCTGAGGTGGTTTGGTTCTTTAAGTGAAAACAAAGCTTCATGTGTTCAAGCTGCATCGTCCCTACATGCTGATTGACAGGTCTCCACCACAAAAATATACAGCGTCTCTACGTCCTCCCTGGTCCTTATATTGTGACTTTGATTGTGAAAAAGACAAGATGGCGGCGGACATATCGGCAAGTTGAGGCCCTTCACCACACCTGTACATGTTAAAATCAGACAAACATCTGTCCTTGTTAGAACCAGAAAACATCTGTTCTGCCTGTTAGTACCAGAGAACATCTGGCTTTACTGGTAGTGGTAATGTGTTGTTGTTATCTCTACTCTTCATATGTGTACTGTTAAACTTTTCCTGGTATTCATATTGGAATTATTATCTAGTTTCTTTAATAACGAGGACAAATCTAGTTAATGAAGAAGAATTAATAATAATCCCACACGTTATACAAAAGTGAAGTACTATACTACATTAGTGTAGTACTGCTTAAAATACTGCTTTAGAAGTATCAGCATCTATTTCTCAGAGCAAGTATTATGATGCGTGTGGTAAGCGCCTACACAGACACACACGTAGACACAGACACTCAGACATGCACAGCTCTACACAGGCAGCTGACAGCGTTTCATTTACAATCCCACAACTTGTCACTGCTGTTAGTGTCCTGCAGCTGGCCTGTGTGTGTGTGTGTCCTTTGATAACATAAAAAATGGTATTACAGTGTGTGTGGGCTTTGTCACCCACCAGCTGTCCTGCTGTCTGCGATAACGCTTCGTTGGCGTCTCCAGACGAGTTCATGATCGGCTGATAATCACAACGTTTCTACTTTTGGCAACAACATTTCTTATTGAAGCCACACCACAACAGTTCTACCTGTAACAACATTTCTACCTGTAACAACAGTTCTACCTGTAACAACATTTCTACCTGTAACAACGTTTCTACCTGTAACAACATTTCTACCTGTAACAACATTTCTAGCTGTAACAACGTTTCTACCTGTAACAACAGTTCTACCTGTAACAACGTTTCTACCTGTAACAACATTTCTACCTGTAACAACGTTTCTACCTGTAACAACGTTTCTAGCTGTAACAACGTTTCTACCTGTAACAACGTTTCTACCTGTAACAACGTTTCTACCTGTAACAACATTTCTACCTGTAACAACATTTCTACTTGTAACAACGTTTCTACCTGTAACAACGTTTCTACCTGTAACAACGTTTCTACCTGTAACAACATTTCTACCTGTAACAACGTTTCTACCTGTAACAACGTTTCTACCTGTAACAACGTTTCTACCTGTAACAACGTTTCTAGCTGTAACAACGTTTCTACCTGTAACAACGTTTCTACCTGTAACAACGTTTCTACCTGTAACAACGTTCTACCTGTAACAACATTTCTACCTGTAACAACGTTTCTACCTGTAACAACGTTTCTACCTGTAACAACATTTCTACCTGTAACAACATTTCTACCTGTAACGTATCCGCCTGCTTTTTCCGTCGATGTTTCTCTCCAACCTGTAATTTCCTCCCCCTTCTCCATGTGGACTTTTCCTTATAGCCTTACTCCTTTAAGTTTTTCTTTCGGACCCCCCGCTCACCGCTCACACTTCCAATTCCAATGCATGTGACTCAGTGATGCAGTAATAACACCAGGGTCTACTTTGTCACCCAGTCTCCAATTTACATGCAGAAACTGAAGCTGGGTTGAATCTGCCTGTGCAATCAGTGTTTACTCTGTTAAAACTGCTGATGTCTCCTCGCCGTGTCTCACTACCTTGTCTCCCCTCAGGTCCAAGGAGATGATAAAGGACGCCATCTTGGACAACGATTTCATGAAGAACCTGGAGCTGTCTCAGATCCAGGAGGTGGTGGACTGCATGTACCCCGTGGACTATGGAAAGGACGCCTGCATCATCAAGGAGGGCGACGTGGGCTCTCTCGTCTACGTGATGGAAGGTGAGGGTCTGGTCGCCATGACAATGAGAATCTGTCTCAGCTTCGAGGGTTTGTCCTCAATGTTTCTGTCCTTTTTAGATGAGGACTTTTACTTTGAAGGGTTAGGGGTCTTCTGACCCGTCCTGCTGATCAGCTGTTGGCCTCCGTCCTCACTAACCACATATTTTGCCTTTATTTAAAGCCCTCAGAGGAAACGCCCAGAGGAACCAAAGCTCCTCTCATATGTGAAGAAGCTGCAGTTACGAATGAGTCTGTGTGAAAACAACTTCCCTTGTTGATTTTATACCCAAATGATTCAGGAAATTAAGAGAAACAACCAAAAATAGCTAATGGTGTCTGGTGAGGGAAGGATTCTGTGTGTAATATTTGATAAATACCTGTGAACCGTTATTCATGCCGATAGACCTTTTTGTACTCATCCACACGCAGGCAGAACTTGTGTGTTTTGCTCGGGAGGAAGCGGGAATTGAACCGCTGACCCAGAACTTCTCTGTTCTGTGCTGTGATATTTATAGATGTTTATGGCGTGTTTCATAAGAGGCCTGTTTGGTAATGCCCTTCTCCCACTTGGACCCAGTTTGACTTGATGTTATATTTATGGATATGAGAATGTCGTACTTTTCTATAAAGGACAGACTTGACGTGTCCCCCGGCCCCCGACCCCTTGTCCCCCGGGTCCTCCGTCGCAGTGGGCAGTGCGAACCAAGTGGTGACATTAATTTAAATATAAAAGTCTGACCCGCCGGCAGCTTCTTCTCTGCAGGATTCCTCACATGTAGAGAATATCTGCGATTGCGAAGACAAAAAACCACCTTAAAACCAGGGTTCCTGAATGGGAACGTGGCTGTGCCAAGGGGAGGCTACCCCACAAGCAAAGAACAAACTAAATAAAACACAAAAAACAAACATCATAAAAAGTGTCAGAAATACACAAGAAAGCAGATTCATGATGAGCCAGAGAGTGTGTGTCTTCGTGTGTGTGTGGGGTGCAGATGGCTCCTTAATATAACTTGTGTCACAGGAAGAGGAAGTGATCCATGAAAACAGACCACAATAAAGATTTGATAGTGTGTGTGTGTGTGTGTGTGTGTGTGTGTGTGTGTGTGTGTGTGTGTGTGTGTGTGTGTTATAAATACGACCTTCACTAATCGTGTGTATGGAGGACGAAACAGATGCAGCAGCTTCATCTCATTATGTAAGACGCACACACACACACCCACACACACAAGTCTCTCCGGTGGATGCGGTTGGCATGGCAACCTGTTCGGTGACCATATTTGGGATTCTTAATGTTTTTTCACAGTTCAGAAATTTGGAATCGGTTCACAACGAAAGGCGGGAGATAAGAATACGAGTGAGAAGAGAAAGGAGGGAAGGATGTGTGATGAGGAAAGAGGACAGGAAGCAAGGGCAGAAGCGAGGAAACATTGTAAGCAGATTGTTGGGTGAGGGTTAACCCTCACCCAACAATCTGTGTGGTAGTTTTGTGTCTCTTTCAAAACTTTTGGTCCCTTTTCAGTTATTTTATTCAAGCCAGCTTTTGAATCCTCTCCAAGGCTTTAAACCAAGGAGCCAATATCTCTGACCTCTGTCCTCCGATCTGACACGTGCGACGCGATTGGTTGATTAACTAAATTGTCCCGGAAGAAAATCTTTTTTGTTCTGGGACTAAACAGGTAATTATTGATGTGATTATTATCCCAAGACACTCAATGATGAAAGAGACAGAAGACAAAGTCTTGTCTCATATACTATGTGATTATCAAACTGTTAAAGTTTAGTGAGAGGTGTCTTTGTGTCTTTAATAGATACGTCTGTGAAAGACAGACAAAGTGTCCTGGACTCCTTTGGTTTAGTTCTTTACTTCACCTACAATCTCTGTCCGTGGTGCTGAGGTTTGAGCAGCTGGTTATTATTGTTAATACTATTGTCTATATCATGTATAACTGTAGATACAAATAGTGTTTATAAATCTACTCTGAGTCAAAGTAGCACAAAGAGACACAAACAGGTCTGAGAGGATCAATATTATGATCAATATCATTTCAAATGTCAGAGCGTGTTTGAATGTTAACGCACATCTCAGATACAAAATAGAATGATAGATCGTGTTGTTGTTATGTTGATGTTTTCCTTTTGGAGAAATCATGGTAACCATGGCAACGACAAGTTTATTTCACCTTTATTCTACTTCACTTTCTGAATCGTTCTGATTTGCAGTCGGAGCAGAGCGTCAAATGACATCATCTTTTATACGCACACTAATATTTGTATAAAAAGTTTCTCAAAATCAGCTGATTGTGAAACATTACTCCTGGGCCCGGTTATTCACAAGGTTTTATCCGGATAAAATTGATCCGGATTTAGTAATCCTTTTTTTTGCGATCCGTGATCACGTAATCCATCTTACTTTTATGGGATCAGTTTAATACAGATATTTTGGATCAAAGTGATCCAAATCCTACAAAAAAGTTCTGAAAAACCCAAACTAAAGGTTTGATCCGGATTGGATTACGTGATCTAATCCCGATTATGTAATCCGTTTTTTCTTTTGAAAAGTCCATTTTCAAGATTTGATCCAATCCGTTAACCAAAATCCTAGTGGATTACTTTTGAAAAACCGGGCCCTGGAGTCTGAGCTCCTGATCCAGGTTCCAGGATCCAGGATGAGAATGGGAACCAGGATCAGGATCAGGACTCAGGGTGACTCAGGTTGCCATGGTAACTGATGCTGAACACCTGACCCCCGCTGACGAATCAGAGCTCAGTTTTTTAAGATAAAACTAATTTTGTAAGAACAAACAAACAGGGACAAAAGCAACATGCTGACTTCCTGTTAAAGACCTCCAAAATAAAGGTTTGTTCTGTCTCCGGCTCAGAGGGGAAGGTGGAGGTGACTGAGGGGGGGAAGAAGCTGTGTACGATGGCTCCAGGCAAAGTTTTCGGGGAGCTGGCCATCCTCTACAACTGCACCCGGACGGCCACCGTCATGAGTGAGTACTGACCCGTGTACATGTACCTGAGTATGTACATATACCAGTGTATCTGTGTGTACTACGCGCCCAGTGAAGCTCCTCTCCATACGGCTGAAGTGCTCG